TGAAAACGAAAACGGCTACAAAACAACAATGATTTGGGGCGAGAAATAGAATGCGAACACTCGGATTTCCGCAATAATTTACCAATAATTTGACTACCAGAACTTGTTTTGGTGTCTATGCCCCACAGCCTTTTTCCGTCATTTTCGAAATAGCAGACTCTTTGTGAAAAGTAATTCGTTTGACAGATAGTGCTTTGATAGAACCTAAAGTCGATTCTCGTTGATCTCTATTATAAAGGCCTTTAGACACTGTCGTCACTATGCTTGACTCATTATTTTTTCATTTTTCTAGCAAATTCTTGAACGCTTTAGTGACATTTTCTTGATTCTTGACGAAGTTCCATCAACATTTGATGAGCCTTAAACAAATTCGAGTCTAGGCCCCTTTTCATTGAGACATTCGTTGCAGCTTCGGCACTCATTAAAGCCGCCTCGACTGTTTCCATTTGTCGAGTCATTTCGGGTAGTTCATTGAGCAGATCTATAGAAAAATTAGTGAGTCTAAAGAGAATTCATCTACCTCGAAATTGATTTTTCTGTTGGTTGACGTAGTACGTGGCATAGGTATGTGTACAAGTTGGACATTTGCCTTGATAGGCATTGGAATGCTTATAGGTTTCCGGTCGTGTCTTCCTTCATCCTTCACCTTCATCTTCCAACGAGCCTGACACCTCACTTGCTATTTCTGAGGCTTCATCGCCTGGACCGAGTTTGTCAACGATAGCATTGATAGAATTTTCAATAGGTGGACTCTAAACCCTTTAAGTTTACAGTTAAGGAAACGTGGAGCTGTTAATCGCCGATGTATCATTGCAAGCATCTAAGTTATGGAAAATCAATTGAATTGATCTCGAAAAGCTACCTTCTTGGCCAATTTATATTCCGGATCGGTTGGATTGAAAAAGTGATACCCGACGGTCTTCTTTTAACTATCGGTCTCTCCATCGGTCCTTTGAACGCAGATTGAGCCAAAAGTAAAATTGCTTGTGGTTTGATGAGTGGATCCTCGTCGTCTTTTTTCTTTCTCGAAATCTTTTGACTTTTGACATGTAGTTGTAGGAATGTCCTCCGAAGAGGAAAACGCTGTCGACGAAGAAATGATTGCATCCAACCATTGCTTCTTTTGGAATCGAGACCAGCCTCAGAAACGGTTCATCGCTTCGGTATAGGTTGGATGCAACTCTCCACAGCCAAATATCCTAATGGATCTGAAATCTGAAATGTGTTTTTGAAGTTTGAGGGAGACCTTCTGATAAGACTTTTCGAGTTTCTGGTAATCACGATTCATCACTAGAAGACACGGAATGAAGAACGAATCCTTCTGGACTCTCTGATCACTTTTTATCAAAACACGGAATTCTTTTTCGTCACATCCATTTCCTCTCACTTTATTGTACTTAACAAAATCATTTAGGGGAAGTGGTCCGAAGCTCTAGGTGAAGTTGTTTGTAAAGATGAGGTTTCTACCGATTCTTCTACTGGTTTAAATTCAATGAAATATGTATCTAAAACACGATACGACATTTGACGTTGATACGATTGACTAGCGATTGATTCGTGTCATCGTGAGTCAAAACAATTCGTGTCATCGTGAGCTCTGCCCTGCTTCAAAAAGGCAAATCGCATGATTTTTGGGGAAGAATTCTAACATCTGATGAAACATGGAATCAATACGAGAATGTGAAGCGCAAAAATCAGTGACTTTCTCTAGGTCAACCCCCACAACCAACTTCCAAACCCGATATTCATGAAATGAAACTTATGCTTTGCTGTTGGTGGAATACAAAAGGTTTGGTGTATTATGAGTTGTTGAATCCTCATTGATTGATCATGATTGATCTCATTGATTGATGTGCGTTTTTTTATGTCTTTAGCAATAAACAGTTTTGTGAAAAAACCGACACTACTTTTTCCTCAACCTAATAGTTCAAAAAGAAAAAAAGACTGAAAAAGCTAAAAGCAAACACTTTAGGAACTCGAAAAAAATGTTTTAAAAATGTTTTTGCGGAAGTTTTGCAAAAGAAAAGCCAAAAGTAGGGCCGCGAGAGGAACCAAACCCAGGAAAAAAAATTGCATTATTTTGATAGCCTAACGCAGTCCCCTAGACCGCCGCTGCTTTCTTCCCTTATAGGTGAGGTGAGAGTTTGCCGAAAATGACCGAAACTTTGCATGCGCTTTTCTCGAAAGCCAGGGCCCGTGGGCAAAAAGGTCTCTTTACGTGGGCTTCGTTGGTGGTTTCGACTTGAAGAATGGATGACAAATAGGATCTAACTTGGTTGGTTTTAAAGGCTACTTGATAGAGTTTTGGTTAAATCCCGCCTGGATCTCTCGTGGACATGCGTTCTTCGGAGTGATTGTTAAAGAGAAGGGTTGAAAGTGCTGAAATGGAAATGAGAAAGGCTCTCGGGTAGTCTACGAACAGTATTTCTGTTGCACTAACATTTCACCCAATGTTTCATTGTCTTCTTCATCTTCTATTTCAAACATTCAGTTAACATTCCCAAGTCGACTCTTCCCGACCACAACAGCATCAGCAAAAGGAAAGCAAGAAGGAAAAAGGGAAATTAACACTTTTTCATTATTCTAAATAAAACTCAATTTTAGAATTGGAATTCTTATCGATATAACTGAATAAACTTAAAGCTAACTGGGCAAACCCAGAAAAAGCGTACGGTAAAATAAAAGTGATATGAGTGCTTTGAAATAACGCGAATAAATTGATTCCTTAACTTGAAATTTACAGATCATCCGAGAAAGATGAAACAAATTTGATGGTAGAAGGGTGAAATGGAGGAGAAATCGAGATGAAAAAGAAAAGGTCGTCACAACAAAAAACTCTTAATGTCATAATGTTATAGCTTGATGATTGAGATTTTGCGATCTTGCGGAAGTCAGAAGATTTGTTGAGAATCTCGACCTAGATTTATATGTACCATGTAATAGTATGGCCTAGCAAATGAAATGCTCATTTTATGATCAAGGACTTTTGAAAATTTGACTGGCTTTCTTTCTGAATCTGATGTGAAATTACTGATGTAATCGGATGAGTGTTAGCAGTGGATTCGACAAAGAACACAGTCTAAACAACGTGCAATCTTTGCTGGACGATCTTTGTGGCGAAAAAGTTAGTAAAGACGAGGCGTGGATTGCCATCTCACAGTCCCATCATCGTCATCGTCATCACCCATCATCGTCTCTGTCGAATTGACAAAACTGTTTATTGCTAAAGACATAAAAAAACGCACATCAATCAATGAGATCAATCATGATCAATCAATGAGGATTCAACAACCTTTTGTATTCCACCAACAGCAAAGCATAAGTTTCATTTCATGAATATCGGGTTTGGAAGTTGGTTGTGGGGGTTGACCTAGAGAAAGTCACTGATTTTTGCGCTTCACATTCTCGTATTGAATCCATGTTTCATCAGATGTTAGAATTCTTCCCCAAAAATCATGCGATTTGCCTTTTTGAAGCAGGGCAGAGCTCACGATGACACGAATTGTTTTGACTCACGATGACACGAATCAATCGCTAGTCAATCGTATCAACGTCAAATGTCGTATCGTGTTTTAGATACATATTTCATTGAATTTAAACCAGTAGAAGAATCGGTAGAAACCTCATCTTTACAAACAACTTCACCTAGAGCTTCGGACCACTTCCCTAAATGATTTTGTTAAACACAATAAAGTGAGAGGAAATGGATGTGAAGAAAAAGAATTCCGTGTTTTGATAAAAAGTGATCAGAGAGTCCAGAAGGATTCGTTCTTCATTCTGTGTCTTCTAGTGATGAGTCGTGATTACCAGAAACTCGTAAAAGCTTATCAGAAGATCTCCCTCAAACTTGATAGACACATTTCAGATGATCAGATCCATTAGGGTATTTGGCTGTGAAGAGTTGCATCCAACCTATCCCGAAGCGATGAACCGTTTCTGAGGCTGGTCTCGATTCCAAAAGAAGCAATGTCTTAATGAAAAGCGGCCTAGACTCGAATCTGTTTAAGGCTCATTAAATGTTGATGGAACTTCGACAAGAATCAAGAAAATGTCACCAAAGCGTTCAAGAATATAGGTAAATTATTGAGAATATCCTTGTTCTCATTTTATTTCTTGCCTCAAATCATTGCTGTTTTGTAGCCGTTTTCGTTTTCAGTTTTCGCTGAAATGAATATTGATTGTTGTTACTTGACGAATGATGACTAAACGAATCGGGCATTCCCCTCCTTTCTCTTTATTTGGTAGGAAATCCGTATTTTGTCCGGCAACAAATATCTGGTTTGATTTTCTCATCAATTCTGTTTATTTAGTAGCCTTTTCCTTTAATTTTCACTTGTTCTTCGAGAAAATCAATAAATAAATTAAAGACTTTTTTTGATAGAAGCAAAGATTTGGTGAAAAACCCACAAATCGGCTTCGAGTTGGGCGATCTTCTTCAACGAGATGGACGGTTCTTTTATGCGTTTGACACCCTTTTCAGGCAATTTTTCAGTCATTTCGGGCATTTCTGGAGATTAGGAAAAAGAAGAGATGCTCTGAAGACATCGAGGAAGGAAAGGAAGATCCCAGAGATTCTACAACCAACGAGGAGCTTTGAATTTTGAAGTTGGAGAAGTCAAAAAGGCTCTAGGAGAAATTGTTTACGCCGGGGCGAGATAGATAGCTTCGCCGCGGAGATTGAGGAACAATTGTGGTGATTTGATGGGAACGGTCGGTTCAGTTGACCTTCCCCGAAAGCAGTCACCTGATAACTCCGCGTTTTCTCACTCACCAACTTCACCCGAACTGACGGCTTTCTTTTTCCCGAAATGCTAATTTTTTGCACGAAGTTCTATTCGAAACGATTCTTTCAACGGCTTAATGAGTCAATCGTTCTCCGAAACAATTTCGGAGCTCTCAAAAGCTCTTTTCCGTAAAAAAAGCTCTTGTTTATCGGATCGTCCCTCCATTCGGTCTTCCCATTTCCTCGAATTCAAGACTAATCAACCAATTCAGCAAAAATGGGTGTGATGGCCGTCCGTCTATTCATCACGATTCTCCTCCTATTCCATCAAATTTCTCCGTCGATTCAACAAAGCGATCAATTGGATCAATTCACGTATTCTTTTCCCTCCAAATAGCTATGTAGTCAACCATTCAGATCTCCGATAGATCGAGATGAGATTCGTGATCGTCGTACTTTGAAGTTAGTCCGAAAGAGATTTTTCGATGATCTTAGATTTCAGCTGTAAAAAGGATTGTCCGGACACCGTTCTCTTGAGATCTTGTCAAAGAAATCTGTTGGTTTTTTGGGAGAAGAGCGAAATTGATAGAATAAACAATAAATAGGCTTGAGTGTCTTTTCATGACACGACTTTTCAGGAATGAAACCCAACAAGAGCTTGTCGAGACTCGAGGAAACATCCTCGAACTGCAGACGGAAATGTGGGTGAAATCAAAAATCTTGAAGAATTTTTTGGATTTTGAGTAGCGAGTAATTTAAGCATTCAGCGCAAGAGAGCGGAACGAAACGAAGGACAAAGACGTCGAGATGAGTCGATTGACAGCAAAAATGGCTCAAATCGAGGCGAACTTAATGGAGAAAATCACCGAGACGAAAAGGAAGAACGACGATCTCGAAGCACAATTGTACTAATTTTGTAATTTTCTTTTTGGCAAGCTCAATATATAGTTAAAATCCGAACTTTTTTGCGTTGATTGAGTGCGAAATAGATTGAGTATTTGTCTAAAGGATCTGGACTAATGTTTTCCGAAGAAATTCAGAAATCGAACGATGAATCTCTTGAAACTGGATGGATGGTCGTATTTAGCAAAAACCGCTTCTTCGTACAAGGTTTGGTGGATGTTGTGAACCAGGATTATCTTCATCTCAAGTTTATCGCCCGACCAATGACATTTGATGAAGCTGAGGAATATTGTGCGAGTCAAAAGGACCATTTAGTCTCAATTCACAGTCAGGAAGAGAACGATTTTGTTCAGAAACTCGGTAAGAAATCGAAATGATTCAAGTCATGATTTTTAAAAATTCATGATTTTGGTAGAAATTTATGCTTTATAAGCCAAAAACAATCGATGTTTATTTCAGCGAAAAATGTTACTTCGAGTCTTGTGTTCTGGATCGGAATGAAGGTTGAATTTTTCTTTTTGAAAGAAATACAGAAATAAAGAAAAAATAGAAAGTAATGGATTTTCAGCCATTTTCGGAAGGCTCTCTGTGAAAAAAAGATTCCTTGGACTGATAGCTCTTTGATGGAAATCTGAAATGAAAGAAACTGATAGAAATCTAATTTGAATTGAAAAAAGATCAAGGGTGAAAAATAAAAACTTCTTTATTCAGAGAAATCCGAACAAAGAAAATGCTTTTGAATGGACGGATGGAAGTTCGGTGGATTTCACGAATTGGAAGGTTGGAGAGCCGGATTCGAACACCCACGCTTATGTAAGATTTTCAACGTGAAATATTTATCGATATTTATTCCAATTTCCAATGCATAATAATCCCAAAATGTTTCGATCAATCTGAGGAAATTTCTTTTTGTGAAATTACGCAAAGTGTTTTATCAAAAGATTTCCATCAGAAATGAACACATTTCAGCTTTGGAGCAACACTGGGACATGGGAGGCCTATTCTCCTACCAAACAGTATCGTTTTATTTGCAAAAGGAGCTCTCAGCTCTGATAAATGTCTTAAGTTCCTTTCTGCGAGCAAAAACCAATAAATTCCATTTTATTCAATCTTCTGAAAACACAAAACTGCGATGTTATCTTTTTCTTTATTTCTGAATCGTTTGTTCAAAATCTCATATAAAATGTTTTCACAAAAACCCAGAATTCCGCCTGAAGCTGCAAGTATTTTGCTCTCTCGTCGCTCCTGAATAGACTATTAGATAAACGTTTCAAAAATGTTAATGTTCAGAAAGATTGATGCTCTGGTTTTTGAGAAATTACACTTTAAAATTTAATAAAAAATTTACGAACTAGTCGGCCAGCCTAATAGACAAAAAAAATAAAAATAGGTCCGTAGAATATTTGAAACTTTTTGCGATCATTTCAAATCATTTAAAAAACATTTAAAATCAATCAGGCTCAAAAAAGTTATGATTCCAACAAATGGGTCTGTGAGTGACGAAAGAAAGCTTTTCCAATTACCCGCAGATCTCGAATGAAGAATGACGTCAAAAAAGGAGAACAAAAATCTTACAAGTGATTAAAAAACCTCAAGAATTCCAATTCTAAAATTGAGTTTTATTTAGAATAATGAAAAAGTGTTAATTTCCCTTTTTCCTTCTTGCTTTCCTTTTGCTGATGCTGTTGTGGTCGGGAAGAGTCGACTTGGGAATGTTAACTGAATGTTTGAAATAGAAGATGAAGAAGACAATGAAACATTGGGTGAAATGTTAGTGCAACAGAAATACTGTTCGTAGACTACCCGAGAGCCTTTCTCATTTCCATTTCAGCACTTTCAACCCTTCTCTTTAACAATCACTCCGAAGAACGCATGTCCACGAGAGATCCAGGCGGGATTTAACCAAAACTCTATCAAGTAGCCTTTAAAACCAACCAAGTTAGATCCTATTTGTCATCCATTCTTCAAGTCGAAACCACCAACGAAGAATGATGATATCATTCCATCGATTATCACTCACAGTCCGAAAGCCCACCCCGGAGATCAATGGGAAACGTTTTGTCAAAGTTCTGCGATGATTATCGTAAGTAGACCGAGTGTTCTTCTAGGAGTCCACGAGAGAGAATGTCCACAAGAGATCAAGGTGGGATTTAACCAAAACTCTATCAAGTAGCCTTTAAAACCAACCAAGTTAGACCCTATTTGTCATCCATTCTTCAAGTCGAAACCACCTTCATAAATAACATTCATAAATAGCCCACGTAAAGAGACCTTTTTGCCCACGGGCCCTGGCTTTCGAGAAAAGCGCATGCAAAGTTTCGGTCATTTTCGGCAAACTCTCACCTCACCTATAAGGGAAGAAAAGTAGCGGCGGTCTAGGGGACTGCGTTAGGCTATCAAAATAATGCAATTTTTTTTCCTGGGTTTGGTTCCTCTCGCGGCCCTACTTTTGGCTTTTCTTTTGCAAAACTTCCGCAAAACATTTTTTTCGAGTTCCTAAAGTGTTTGCTTTTAGCTTTTTCAGTCTTTTTTTCTTTTTGAACTATTAGGTTGAGGAAAAAGTAATGTCGTTTTTTTCACAAAACTGTTTATTGCTAAAGACATAAAAAAACGCACATCAATCAATGAGATATTCTCCATTATTACTGATGGCTTGTTCCCATCTTCGTCGCAAGTCCCTGATTCCATCCTCAAAAAAATGGGGAGTTTAAGAGCCAAAATAAATGTCGACTCTTTTTTTGATCTGTGCATGATTCCCGAGCTTTTCTCACATCAGAAGACTCCTCAACAACCGAAACAAAAAATAATCTGATGGGGCCAAATTGGGACCATAAGGTGCGTGGGGTAGATGTTTCCAACCAAGCTCGTCGATTTTGTGGTGAGTGATTTTTGCAGTGTGAGGTTTTGCATTATCATGTAGAAATAGCACTTTTGATGTTTCAACGCCCAATTTCTTTAAGCTTCCTTAACCCTCATCAACTGTTTTGAATAACGATCCGCGGTGACAGTTTCTCCCGGATCCAACAACTCATAATACACCAAACCTTTTGTATTCCACCAACAGCAAAGCATAAGTTTCATTTCATGAATATCGGGTTTGGAAGTTGGTTGTGGGGGTTGATCTAGAGAAAGCCGCTGATTTTTGCGCTTCACATTCTCGTATTGAATCCATGTTTCATCAGATGTTAGAATTCTTCCCCAAAAATCATGCGATTTGCCTTTTTGAAGCAGGGCAGAGCTCACGATGACACGAATTGTTTTGACTCACGATGACACGAATCAATCATATCAACGTCAAATGTCGTATCGTGTTTTAGATACATATTTCATTGAATTTAAACCAGTAGAAGAATCGGTAGAAACCTCATCTTTACAAACAACTTCACCTAGAGCTTCGGACCACTTCCCCTAAATGATTTTGTTAAGCACAATAAAGTGAGAGGAAATGGATGTGACGAAAAAGAATTCCGTGTTTTGATAAAAAGTGATCAGAGAGTCCAGAAGGATTCGTTCTTCATTCCGTGTCTTCTAGTGATGAATCGTGATTACCAGAAACTCGAAAAGTCTTATCAGAAGGTCTCCCTCAAACTTCAAAGACACATTTCAGATTTCAGATCCATTAGGATATTTGCCTGTGGAGAGTTGCATCCAACCTATACCGAAGCGATGAACCGTTTCTGAGGCTGGTCTCGATTCCAAAAGAAGCAATGGTTGGATGCAATCATTTCTTCGTCGACAGCGTTTTCCTCTTCGGAGGACATTCCTACAACTACATGTCAAAAGTCAAAAGATTTCGAGAAAGAAAAAAGACGACGAGGATCCACTCATCAAACCACAAGCAATTTTACTTTTGGCTCAATCTGCGTTCAAAGGACCGATAGTTAAAAGAAGACCGTCGGGTATGATGGGAACTACTGCAAGCTTTTCTTTCAGGTGATTCAACTGTACATTGAAAGAAATTATAGACTCAATTATTTATAAATATTTCTAGGCTCGAGTCGATCTCGGCAGAAGAACGATTGTGGATCGTTCACAACATGGAGTACGCGGTCACGCTGACTACTGGGTAATGAACGACAATGACTCGGTTCGAAACTATTGGCTCTGTATCTTCAAATTTGAGAGCTAACTGAAGAACCATAGCTTTTTGCTATTTTGTCCACCATGTTTGTCCTTATTGTCTTGTTTTAAAAATGAAATCTTTAAAAGATTGGTTTCAAGAAATTGCAAATCTTTAACAAACTCTTTCCCCATTTTGTTGGAGATACGCAGTTCAACTTTTTCCCAGATTCAGGTTTGATTCTTTCTTTTCAAACCAGATTCATTGAAAATCTCTTTGTTGTTTCAGTCTCCTAAGCCCTTGACTAAAAAGAAAAATGATTATCGCTAGTGCGGAAGAGTGAGGCAAAATTGATTGACAAATGATTGATTTGAGTGAATGTATTCATTACGATCCAATACTTTTAATGACCATTTCAATACCTCGAGCCAGCAATATCTGATGATGATGGAGGCTTCCATTTCTTGCCCCAAATCATTGTTGTTTTGTACCAGTTTTCGTTTTCAGTTTTCGTTGAAATGAATATCGATTGTTTTTGGTTGACGAATGATGACTAAATGAATCGGGCATTCCCCTCCTTTCTCTTCATTTGGTAAGAAATCTGTATTTTGCTTGGCAACACATTTCTTGTTTGATTTTCTCATCAATTCTGCTTATTTAGTAGCCTTTTCCTTTAATTTTAAATTAAATTAAAGACTTTTTTGATAGAAGCAAAGATTTGGTGAAAAACCCACAAATCGGCTTCGAGTTCGGCGATTTTCTTCAACGAGATGGCCGGTTCTTCTATGTGTTTGACCCTCTTTTCAGACAATTCTTCAGTCATTTCGGGCATTTCTGGAGAATTGGAAAAAGAGATGCTCTGAAGACATCGAGGAGGGAAAGGAAGATTCCAGAGATTCTACAACCAACGAGGAGCTTTGAATTTTGAAGTTGGAGAAGTCAAAAAGGCTCTAGGAAAAATTGTTTACGCCGGGGGGAGATAGATAGCTTCGCCGCGGAGATTGAGGAACAATTGTGGCGATTTGATGGGAACGGTCGGTTCAGTTGACCTTCCCCAAAAGTGGTCTCCTGATAACTCCGCGTTTTCTCACTCGCCAACTTCACCCGAACTGACGGCTTTCTTTTTCCCAAAATGCTAATTTTTTTTTTGCACGAAATTCTATTCGAAACGATCGTTTCAACGGCTTAATGAGTCAATCGCTTTCCTAAACAATTTCATCGTCGCCTCATTCGCTCTTCCCATTTCCCCGAATTCAAAACGAATCAACCAATTCAGCGGAATGGGTGCGATGGCCGTCCGTCTACTCATCACGATTCTCCTTCTTTTCCATCAAATCTCATCGTCCATTCAAGAAAGCGTTCAAGTGGATCAATTCACGTATCCTTTTCCCTTCAAACAGCGATGTTGTCAACCATTCAGATCTCCGAATGATCGAGATGAGATTCGTGATCGTCATACTTTGAAGTTGGTCAGAAAGAGATTTTTCGATGATCTTAGATTTCAGCTATAAAAAGGATTGTCCGGACACCGTTCTCTTGAGATCTTGTCAAAGAGATTTGTGAGTTTCTTGGGAGAAAAGCGAAGTTGATAGAATAAACAAGAAATAGGCTTGAGTGTCTCAATGACAAGACTTTTCAGTAATGGAACCCAACAAGAACTCGTCGAGGCCCGAGGAAAAATCAGCGCACTCGAGAGGGAAATGTGGGTGAAATCAAAAATCTTCAAGAATTCAACCTGATCTTTTTTGGATTTTGAGTAGTAACAATTTAAAAGAGAAAACAAAATGGCCGAAATCAAGAGCTTGCGGGCAGATTTCTGGGTTTTTTTAAGGAAAAAGATTGAGTATTTGTCTAAAGGGTCTGGGCGAATGTTTTCCGAAGAAATTCAGAGATCGAACGATGACTTTCTTGGATCTGTATCGGGATGGATGGTCCTATTTGGCAAAAACCACTTCTTGGTACAAGGTTTGGTGGATGTTGTGAACCGGGATTATCTTCATCTCAAGGTGATAGAACAAGGAATGTCATTCGATGAAGCCGTGGCATATTGTGCGAGTCAAAAGGGTCATTTGGTCACAATTCACAGTCAGGAAGAGAACCATTTTGTTTGGGAACTCGGTAAGAAATCGAAATCATTCAATTCTGAAAATTCATGCTTTTCGGGAAATTTATGCTTTATAAACCAAAAACAATCGATGTTTATTTCAGCGAAAACTGTTCCTTCGAATTGGGCGTTCTGGATCGGACTGAAGGTTGAACTTTTCTTCTTGAAGGAAATAAATAAAAAGAAAGTAATAACAGCCATTTTAGGAAGACTCTTGTGAAAAAATGATCCCTTCGACTGATAGTTCTTTGATGAAAATCTGAAATGATAGAAATTGAAAGAAATCTAATTCGAATTGAAAAATTAGAATAGTTTAAAAATCGGAAAAAAATTTGGTTGAGATATCAACAGTGAAACTCATTGATAGAAATAATGGTATCAATTGGAAAACTAGAATAATTTCAATAATAAGAAAGGAAAATCGGATCAAAATATCAATCTCTAAACATAAAAATTTTTTTATTCAGAGAAATCCGAACAAAGGAAATGCTGTTGAATGGACGGATGGAAGTGTGGTGGATTTCACGAATTGGGGTGATGGAAAGCTGACTTCGTACACGCACGCTTGGGTGAGATTTTCGACGTGAAATCATTAATATTTATTCCAATTTCCAATGCATAATTAATCCAAAAATGTTTCGATCAATTTCAGGAAATTTCTTTTTGTGAATTAACGCAAAGTGTTTTATCAAAGGATTTCCATCAGAAATGAACACATTTCAGCTTGATAGCGACGATGGAAAATGGATCGCGGTCAATTCTCTTATCTTTAAGCCTCACGTCAGTTTAATCTGCAAAAGGAGCTCTCAATTCTGATGAGTTCTTTATGTTCTTTTCTATTTCTATGGAATAAATCCCTTTTATTCAATCTTCTGAAAACACACAACTGCACATTATCTTTTTCTTTATTTCTGAATTGTTTCTTCAAAATCTCTTATCGAACGTTTTGCCAAAAACCAGGAATTCCGCCTGAAGCTGCAAGTATTATGTTCTCTCGTCGCTCCTGAATAGACTATTAGATAAACGTGTTGAACATCAATGGACATCAGCATGAGGAAACTGACAATTCTTCGTGAAGGTCGCCCTTCCCGTCCCTCAACTCGTCGATTTGTCTTTGATTTTTGTTCTCTCTTTTTGTTCTCACCTTTAGTTCTATAGGCGGAGATTTTTGTCTTTTTTTGGGCTAATCTTAACGATTAAGCAAGTAGATAATGTATGTATCGTTGATATAATGAGTTGTATATGTCTTTATAGTCAAAAACCGAATGAAATCCCATTTTCAAACGAAATTGGTTCGATGAAATCATTTACCTATGTACATATTAGTGATATTGTACATTATACTCTTTCAACAACTCTGTTCCATTCACAGACAAACCTGACTAAGCACCACGCTTTCGTTAAGATCAGTTTTCGCAACAAAACCCACAAGTGGAAGGGATTTTGGGAAGATTTCCTCGAGATGACAAGACAAATGAGACTCGCGAGAACTTTTTTGCAAAAGCTCCTAAAGTTCTCAATAATTCGATTCCTGCTTTTTTTCCGACTCACTGTTGATTCTGTAAAATCCCCGTTAGTGATGTCAAACTGAAAGCGATCAAAATAGATTTCATTCGGAATTCCCCATTCATTTGCCTCGTCATGTTCTTTGCGACGTTGCGGAGAATTGCTTGTAGCTAAGCGAATTTCTTTGACCAAATCCAAAATCTCTTTTAGGCACGAGTAGCGAATGAAGAGGTCCGGCGAGAGAGATGCTGTTCGAAAATCGCTTTGAGTTTAACAAAGATCTCTTTTCAATCAAAGGAGTCTCTATTAGTCCAAATTAACCAGAATAACGGCATAGGTCGAAGGCTCAACGTTCCGTAGTTCAATCTTGGTTTGAGAGCTGCTTTCAAACAATGTTCATCAATCACTTTCTTTAGAAGCCGCCATTCTTGAAGTATCCCGAATCGACGTTGTGCTCGCCGTGTTTGTGCGATTCGATTTGATATCTAAATGTTGCACGTTGGTCAAGAACACGGACCGCTTCTGTATGAACTGAGAACTGATTTGGAATGCGGTAAGCCACTAGTTTATTTCTCGATGCGTTAACCCACTTGAATCCTGAAGCTCGGAACTGATTTTTTCCGGCACCCACGTCGAAATGATGCTAAACGATTTGAGTCCGATCTAGATAGATTCTCTCCCAACCTTCACAAAAACCGAGTTTAGGGGGTTATCCCTCAGTGTTTGGCGAACTCCGGCTTTCATCCTCACGCCGAGTCCTTGATTCAACTGATGTCAAAATGAGCATGTCAAGGTTAATTTCACTGACCGGCTCATCTTGGGAGAAAATGTTGTGGACCTTTCCGGAGCCTCATTCGGCTCTCGGTCAAATGTGACCCATTTGATCGCCGGGCGGGGCAATCTAATAAATCATTTCTCAATAAGCGCTTCTACACAAAGCAAACCTCTGTCAGTTTCGCGCCACATTCTTTCAGAAAAGCTTACACACTTCCACTGAATCTTCCGTTGGTGTTTTAAGCATCAAAAGTATGTGAAAATGTTGGAGAAAAGGCTTGTGCTTGAATTATCGATTGAGTCAGCAAAAACCCCAAAATTTTGTTTACTTGAGAAAATGCTAAAAAACAAACTTTCCACGGATAATGTTTTCTGGAAAAAGCTCTCGCACAATTTCGACAAGATTGCTGGCGTTGATTTTATTGACGAGACCGTGGATTTTTTTCTTCAGACGCTCCCAATTCAATCGTTGAAATTGCTCACTCGATTTATCTTAAATTTTCTCTGTGACGACGTTATGCACATATTAGGTTGGTGCAGATGAAACTTCCGTTGGAACCATAAACAAAATTTATTATAAAAATCCTAATGCAGAACCTCAATCCAAAAGATATTCGCCATCATTATCAATGACTCTTGGCCATCTTCCACGCAGAGAATGGATGCCCTTTTCGAAGAACTCGGGCAACTGCGACTCGAAGAAGTTGGACACCCAGATTTCAACTTCTTCGCGGTTTTTGAATTTTTTTTCTGCTAAAGAGTGCTGCATCGACCGAAACAAGTGGTAGTCGGATGGGGCCAAGTCCGGGCTATATGGCGGATGAAACAGAACTTCCCAGCCCAATTCCTTGATTTTCTGCTGAGTGATCTTCGCGGCGTGGGGTCGAGCGTTATCGTGGAGGAATCTTGTAGTCGCCGTGTTATTGCCTTGACGACTCAACGCCTGGTTCACGCGGCTCAATTGGGCTTTGTAAAGATCCGCCGTGACTCTTTGGCCCGAATCCTGCACCTCAAAATACACGAGACCTTTACTGTTCCACCAAATACAAAGCATCACCTTTTTTCCGTGGCCCCGATCTCCATTTCCCATTTGAGAAATGCTAGATACAGTGCGTAACAAAATGATAGATCCACCATGTTTTTGGCCCCAGAAACTAGACATTTTGAATAAAAATTCAAGTTTTAACCAAAAACAAGTTCAAAATTTACTTTTAAATCAATTTGCATCAAACTGTTATTTCGTCGCGAAGACATTGCCCTTATAGAAATGTTTCTATGCTTTTCGCCATTTTTCCCGCGTAACAAAATGATAGATCCACCTTGATTTAACAACGTTTTCCTTTATCAATTGATGTTATTCAGTTTTCTTTTTGTACTATCCGTAACTCCAGGTCTTTTTTAGATTTATGGGTAGAAAAGGACGTTTGTCTGTTGTCGAAAGAGCCAAAGTTGAAGCATTCCACGCTTCTGGACTGAGCAACCGCAAAATCGCAACAAAATTGGGCCGTTCTCATAAAGTGATCAACAATTTCCTGACGAATCCGACTTCATATGGAAGAAAGGCATCTACCAGACGTAAAGGAAAACTAACGAAACGCGGGAAACGAGCCATCATCAAAGCAGCCACAAATTCTATTAAAGGATCTCGAAGAATTCGAAACGAGTTGGGCTTAAATGTCTCGCATATGACTGTTTATCGTGTCATCAAAAACTCCTCTCCTTTAAAGCGAGTCAAAATGATGCCAGCCCCTACTTTAAAGCCGAATCACATTGCTGCGAGGACAAAATTTGCGGATGATCATCAGACTTGGACGAATGAATGGAAAGAGGTAATTTCTAAAATTTATATTCTTTTACAAGCAAATTTAGGTTGTATGGTCCGATGAAAAGAAACTCAATTTGGACGGTGCCGCCGGCCTTTCGTACTATTGGCATGATCTCCACACATCGCCTCAGTATTTTACAAAAAGAAACTTTGGTGGAGGTTCCGTCATGATTTGGGGTGCATTTTCTTCTTATGGAAAGCTTGAGATCGAATTCAGCCATTCAAAAATGAATTCTCAAGATTATCAAAAAGTGCTAGAGAATGAGCTTTTACCATACCTACTTGTTTTTCGAAATAAATCGATGGTTTTCATGCATGATAATGCACCAGTTCATGCAGCTGCAAGCACTAAACGATGGCTTAAGCGAAACAAAATCGAAACATTGGACTGGCCATCTCGTTCGCCTGATGTCAATCCCATTGAAAATCTTTGAGGAATGCTGGTTCGTGATGTTTACGATAATGGAAAGCACTATTCGACAGTCACCGAGTTGAAAGAAGCAGTAGTGAGCGCATGGAACCGAATCGGAAGAGTTCAGATTGATGCGCTCGTCGAACCAATGCCAAAGCGAATGAATATGCTTATCAAAAATGGCGGAAAACCTATTAAATATTAACGTGATCTTTTGTTGCAGGTTCTTGTGGGAGTTTATTAGTTAAAATTATAAAATAAAGCTGTGAAATCAAGGTGGATCTATCATTTTGTTACGCGGGAAAAATGGCGAAAAGCGTAGAAACATTTCTATAAGCGCAATGTCTTCGCAATGAAATAAAAATTTGATGCAAATTGATTTAAAACTAAATTTTGAACTTGTTTTTGGTTAAAACTTGAATTTTTATTCAAAATGTCTAGTTCCTGGGACGAAAAACATGATGGATCTATCATTTTGTTACGCGGTGATTAGACTGAAATAAGAAGATCTCTGCTACAATAGAGCCTTCACCTTCACCGTGTAGAGCGTGTAGAGCCTTCACCAACTTGTGTCATCAACAACATTTCTGCTCGGCTGGCGTGGCCGCTGTGTTTTAGCTAAAAGTGCTTTGGATCAAAAATTGCATCGCCAGTTTTCTGGTGCAGTTGGCTTGTGCCCCAATCGTGCCTGTCTATGATCTTGATTGCTTTCCTATTCCAACCTGGCTTCAGCCTGCCTGGCATTGATTGCAAAGATGTTCTAGCCGGGTTCTAAAAGCCACAACCTGGCCTTATTGCAGACCCTACAAAGATTCCTGAGTTTCCAGGAACTGACTACTGGCAGGTTTAGCATTGTTTGGTCTAGTTTAGCTTCCTGTGAGCCTCCTTAGCAGGAGGAGGCAAAGATGAGCAGATGGCTTTCTGGAAGTTTTGGGTTTTTGAGTTTGGGTTTTGAGACTCTTCAATTCACTCACTCATTGATTACCGGGTCCTTCTTGTATCGAGTTGTATCCTTCTTTGCCAGTTTATTATGATCTAGAAATCCATGAACTATTATCTCTTGCGGTCTGTTTGACACTACACATATTCTGTCGATATCCGGTCCGTAGCTGTGTCTTCTTGGTTGAACGTCTTGTACTCACTGAATATTCTCAGATAGACTTTTAAAGGCATTAAGACACTAACTGCCGATGATGAATTTCCTTATCCGGAATGGGCAATTGGAAGGGTTTCGGCTGACTGAAATTGGGTGTTTTGGGTGGCTTCAATTGACTACACACCTCGGCTTTCTTTCAAGTCTGGGAACTTCGGCCGCACGATTCACCCTACCTCGCGGCACACTGATTCGGCTGCCGCCACTGAAAGATCTGTTATTGTCAGCCCAAACTATGTGATGGTGAATTTACCGTAATCCCTCAACGAGATGGCAATGGGCCAGTAGACAGAGAGTCCGGAATTCGGTTTTAGTTACAGGATTCATTGCAGGATTCTAGTAGGGTTCGGGCCAAAGTCTGCACTCTACAGGACTAGAAAAACGTTTCAGTTGAAGCTGCCTCTTTTCAATTTCATTTCAGAGTCGCGTCTTTGGCAATTTCATCTACGCGGCAAATGGCGAATTGAATGATTTACGACCGCCCACAGAACCAACAGCATCAATCGAATTCTTGAGAACTTCAGGAACAAAAATCAAAGACAAATCGACGAGTTGAGGGACGGGAAGAGCAACCTTCACGAAGAATTGTCAGTTTCCTCATGCTGATGTCCTTTGATGTTCAACACGTTTATCTAATAGTCTATTCAGGAGCGACGAGAGAACATAATACTTGCAGCTTCAGGCGGAATTCCTGGTTTTTGGCAAAACGTTCTATAAGAGATTTTGAAGAAACAATTCAGAAATAAAGAAAAAGATAATGTGAAGCTATGTTTTTTAGATGATTCAATAAAACGGGATTTATTGGTATTTGTCCACAGAAAGGAACATAAAGTATTTCTCAGAATTGAGAGCTCGTTTTGCAGATAAAAAGAATCTGATAGGTAGGAGGATAGACTCCCCATTTCCCATCGTGGCTCCCGAGCTGAAACGTGTTCATTTCCGATGGAAATCCTTAGATAAAACACTTTGCGTTATTTCACAAAAAGAAATTTCCTGAAATTGATCGAAACATTTTTGGATTAATTATGCATTGGAAATTGGAATAAATATTAATGATTTCACGTCGAAAATCTCACCCAAGCGTGGGTGTCCGAACCCGAGTGTCCCGATCTTTCATCCCAATTCGTGAAATTCACGGAACTTCCATCCGTCCATTCAAAAGCATTTCCTTTCTTTGAATTTCTCTGAAAAATTTTTTTTTATGTTTTACTGTTGATGTGTCAACCAAATTTTTTTCCATTTGAAAACTATGCTGGTTTTTCAATTCAAATCAGGTTTCTATCAGTCTCTATGATTTCAGATTTCCATCAAAGAACTATCAGTCAAACGAATCTTTTGTCACAAAAGCCTTCCTAAAATGCCTGAAAGAATTATTACTTTCTTTTTATTCATTACTTTCAATGAGTAAAATTCAACCTTCAGTCCGATCCAGAACGACCATCCATCATCCAGATCAACATTCTCTGCTCAAATAAATATCGGTTGTTTTTGGTTTATAAAGCAGTAATCTCCACGAAAATCATGAATTTTCAGAATTGAATCATTTCGATTTCTTACCGAGTCTAAAAACAAAATCGTGCTCTTCCTGACTGTGAATTGAGACTAAATGGCTCTTTCGACTCACACAATAAGCCTCAGCTTCATCAAATGTCATTTCTTTCTTGAAGGCCTTGAAATGAAGATAATCCTGTATCACAACATCCACCAAACCTTGTACCAATAAGCAGTTTTTGCCAAATACGACCATCGATCCCGATAAAGATCCAAGAGATTTATGGTTCGATTTCTGAATTTCTTCGGAAAATATTAGTCCAGATGCTTTAGACAAATACTCAATCTATTTCCTTAAAAAAACGCATAAATCTGCCTCAACTTCATCATTTCGGCCGTCTTGTTTTCCCTTTCAAATTTTCTAGAGAGGAATTCATTGAAATGGATGTTTTGGGAATGAAAAACCTGTTTTCTCAAGTCTCAAGTCTCTACTTAGTTCCTTTATAGTTCCTTTATAGTTCCTATTTAGTTCCTTTAAAGTTCCTTTACAATTGTGCCTCGAGATCGTCGTTCTTCCTTTTCATCTCGGCGACTTTCCTTTCCAAATCTCGATTGCTCTCCCTTCCATCAACCAAATCAGCGTCGAACTTTGCGTTTTTCCCTATTAAATTCGCCTCGATTTGAGCCATTTTTGCTGTCAATCGACTCATCTCGACGTCTTTGTCCTTCGTTTCGTTTCGCTTTCTTGCGCTGAATATTCAAATTACTCACTACTCAAAATCCAAAAAAGATGAGCTTAAATTCTTCAAGAGTTGTTCATTTCACCCACATTTCCGTCTCGAGTTCGCTGATTTTTCCTCGAGCCTCGACGAGTTCTTGTTGGGTTTCATTCCTGAAAAGTCTTGTCATTGAGACACTCAAGCCCATTTCTTGTTTATTCTATTAAATTCGCTCTATTGATTGGCTTGGTTGAAAACATAGCTATTTGAAGGGAAAAGAATACGTGAATTGATCCGCTTGATCGCCTTGTTGAATCGACGAAGAAATTTGATGGAAAAGGAGGAGAATCGTGATGAATAGACCGAAGGCCATCACACCCATTCCGCTGAATTGGTTGATTCGTTTTGAATACGGGGAAATGGGAAGAACGAATGAGGCGACGATGCGATCAACAATTATTTTTTCGCGGAAAAGAGTCTTAAGAGCTCTGAAATTGCTTAGAAAAGCGATCGCCTTACAACCGACGATTCACTCATTAAGCAGTTGAAAGAATCGCTTCGGAGAGAACTTCGTAAAGTTTTGTAAGGAGTTCAGAAACCAAAACCCGACATTACAGCCCAGTTTTCCCCGAGCTCACCATTTGCAACGGTGGACCAGTGGTGGTGAGTTAGGCCGTAAGGCGAGGGTTCTCCGGTTCGAGTCCAGCAGCTGAATGACTTTTTTCCTTTTCTTAGATTTTAATGCCTTGCGGCACACCATTAATACGGATAAGTAGACCCCACCGTTCCCATCAAATCGCCACAATTGTTCCTCAATCCCCGCGAGGGAGGCTATCTATCTCCCCCGTGGCGTAAACAATTTTTCACTTTATAATTCAAAAATTTAGAGCCTTTTTGACTTCTCCAAATTCAAAATTCAAAGCTCCTCGAGGTGTGATCATTGTTGATTGTTGTTTTGGTTGTTCTATGTTTTTCAAGTTGTTTTGTTTTAAAGCAGAACATTTTTATAAAAAGCATAGCTAAACAAAACTTCTCTTATAGGGAGACTGCTCAAGGCATTAAAACCTAGAAAAAGAGAAAAGACAATCAGCTACGAGACTCGAACCAGAGATCCCCGCCTTGCCTCCCGGAAGCAGCATCATGACCAGAAGATTTATTCAATTCATTATCGAGGGCACTGAGACTGAGAAGCAATGAGTGAGAAATTTGGAGAGATTTTGAACTTGAATGATGTTGATTCGGATGATGAGTAGTTTTCTCAAATCAAATTTCTCAAATCGAACTCGAGACAAAGAAAGAAGATCACAAAAATCTTGAGGCACCGAGGCATCAGGATGATGAGGTTGGTTGTAGAATCTCTGGAATCTTCCTTTCCCTCCTCGCTGTCTTCGGAGCATCTCTCCTTTTTCCAAATCTCCAGAAATGCCCGAAATGACTGAAGAATTGCCTGAAAAGAGTGTCAAACGCAGAGAAGAACCGCCGGCCATCTCGTTGAAGAAAATCGCCCAACTCGAAGCCGATTTGTGGGTTTTTCACCAAATCTTTGCTACTATCAAAAAAGTCTTTAATTTTATTTTGAATTTTCTTGAAGAACAAGTGAAAATTAAAGGAAAAGGCTACTAAATAAGGAGAATTGATGAGAAAATCAAACAAGAAATTTGTTGCCAAGCAAAATACGGATTTCTTACCAAATAAAGAGAAAGGAGGGGAATGCCCGATTCGTTTAGTCATCGCTCGTCAACCAAAAACAATCAATATTCATTTCAGCGAAAACCGAAAACGAAAACTGCGACAAAATAACAATGATTTGGGGCAAGAAATAGAATGAGAACACGCGGATTTTCTCAATAATTTACCAATATTCAGATTACCATGATTAGAGAACTTTTATTAGTGGCTCTTCCCCACGGTATTGCCTTTTTCCGTCATTTTCGAAATAGCAGACTCTTTGTGAAAAGTAATTCGTTTGACTGATAGTTGTCGAAAGCCAGGGCCCGTGGGCAAAAAGGGCTCTTCACGTGGGCTATTTATGAATGTTATTTATGAAGGTGGTTTCGATTTGAAGAATGAATGACAAATAGGTTGGTTTTAAAGGCTAATTGATAGAGTTTTGGTTAAGCAAGAAGGAAAGCAAGAAGGAAAAATGGAAATGAACACTTTTTCATTATTCTACATAAAAGTCAATCTTAGAATTCAAATTCTTATCGATATAACTGGATAAACTAAATGTAGCTGGGCAAACCCAGAAAAAGTGTACGGTAAAATAAAAGTGATATGAGTGCTTTGAAAGAACGCGAATAAATTGACTCATTAACTTGAAATTTACAAATCACCCGAAAAAGATGAAACAAATTTGATGATAGAAGGGTGGAATCGAGGAGAAATTGAGATGAAAAAGAAAAGGTCGTCACAACAAAAAACTCTTAATCTCATAATGTTATAGCTTGATGATTGAGATTTTGCAATCTTGCGGAAGTCAGAAGATTTGTTGAGAATCTCGACCTAGGTTTAGTATACTATGTAATAGTATGGCCTAGGAAATGAAATGCTCATTTTATGATCAAGGACTTTTGAGAATTTGACTGACTTTTCTGAATCTGATGTGAGGTTACTGAAGTACTCGAACAGAACGTCCACTCGGATGAGTGCTAGCAGTGGATTCGACAAAGAAGTCGGGTCAATCTAAACAACCTGCAATATTTGCTGGACGATCTTTGTGTAGAGAAAGTTAGTAAAGACGAGGCGTGGATTGCCACCTCACAGTCCCGAGCCATCATCGTCTCTTTTGAATTGACAGATGGACAATGGGTGATTTCACCCAATTTCATTTCCGAGGTGATTTCCAAGAAACTGTTGGTCCTTTTGCACCGGCTCTTATTCCATTTGGTTAACTAATTTATAAATTCTTGTACTAATTTTTGGGTTAAATCCAGTTTTAAAAGTAACAAATTTAATGACACTGCAGTACTTCAATATCTTGATTTTTACGTTCGACCAATCGTTGGCTCTGTGAATGACGTGGAAGCCCATGGCAATTTGGCCATCGATTGACCAATTCTTTCACCTGAAATTGATCATTCAATTAGAAAACTTATTTTATCAAAACCCTACTAATAATAAAAGTTAGATATCCAAATCACTGGAAGAATCATTACTTTCTATTTATTTATGTCTTTCAATCAGAAAAATTCAACCTTCAGTCCGATCAAGAACCCTCAATTTGAATCAACAGTTTTCGCTGAAATAAATATCGGTTGTTTTTGGTTTATACAGCATAAATTTCGACGAAAATCATGAACTTTCAGAATTGAATCATTTCGATTTCTTACCGAGTTCCCAAACAAAATCGTTCCCTTAGTTAGTATAAAATTAGTGTAGATTAATACATTTGAAAAACATAGAGTGTTGCAAGACTTTTGCACCCAGTTTTTAGTGTATTTTTTAGTAGTTTTGTCATTTACTATTTCGTTTTACGCTGAACTTCAAATTTATTTTTGCAAATAAAGTGTACATGTCTTATACTCAATAAAAAAAGTCCTAGGAACAGGTGGCATTTTCTATAAAAACTTCATCGATTCTTTCGAAAAAGTGATGTTGTAAAGCTTTTGCTCGGTATTGTAAAATAAACTACAAACGGAATAGAATAGAATATGAGAGCAAATGAGAAAATTGATAAAAGAATAATAACCTAAATTACTTTTTGAATTACAATTTGGCATTGTGAAATAAGCGGACCTTTAGAACTAGATTAAATTAAAATTATTTGGAAGAAAGATTAAAGTATCTAGGAAGAAATTAAATAAGCTAATGTTTTGTATGCCTTTATAGGCGAAATAGCCAAAAAAGAGGCAAAATTTTGAGTGGGGGATGGGGTAAGCCAGTCTCGCCTTCTTGAAAAATTGCTAAAATGATTTTGTATGCTTTTATGACGAAAAAGAGGTAAAAATAATGAGTTGAAGAGAGGGGGCGTTGAGCTGGTATCACCAAAATAGAAAAATATTTAAAAAGGTGTAAGCTTTAGCGCCGAAAATTTCTCAGAATCCACTCTGATAATTATTTTATTTCAAAAAGACAGACGTTCATTATTTAGCTGAATATCTTTAACTTACTTCTAGTGGTTTAAAAGAGTTCAGTCGAGCGATTATTTTATTTTTCGCGTGGTCTTGAATTAGCTAATCTTACATTTTTACGCCTTTCTATTTCTGTCACCCTTTCTCTTCTCTCGTGCAAAAACCACACTGTCTCTCCATAAAGCGCCTAGTTATATGCCTGTCTTGTATTCGAATCCTTTTCTTCCAAAAATTATTCCGTAAAACCGTTCTTTTTGTTTACGAGGACAACCCCATCTTTTTGTAAAGTTTTTATGGCATAGCTTAAAGCTAGTTTGCAGAGGTACGTTCTGAATTTTGTTAGTTTTTAGGTCGCTTGTGAACATTGCGATATATGACGAGTAAGTTTGCTTAGGCCTAGGCATTCACAAATGAATTTTTTATCTTTTAGATGGCTAACGCGGAGGAAGCGCAATACCTATGAATTGGAAAGTTTACATTCGAATTGGAAGGAAGTGATTTAGGTCCATTCAGGATCAGTGATTTAGGTCGCTAACGCCAAAACGTGCTCGACGTGAAGAATCACCAGAAAAGGCAAAAGAAAATGAAGCTCCTCAGAAAGTATGCAAGAAAACTTTGTTGAAGTAAATACATTTTAGGAAAAGAAACAGCCTGTTGATTTATTGGGTTCTCGCACTGGAGGCGCATACATCCCACCAGCGAACTGAAGTTGATGCAAGAACAAATCCGGGTAATGCATCAAATGATAACGTGGCCACAGAAAAAATTTAGGATAAATCGGGTGAGCGATTTCAACGATTGAATTGGGTGCGTTTGAAGAAAAAGATCCACGGTCTCGTCAATAAAATCAACACCAACAATCATGTCGGAATTGTGCGAGAGCTTCTTCAAGGAAGCAGTATCCGTAGAAAGCTTTTTTTTAAGCATTTTCTCAAGTAAACAAAATTCTAGGGGTTGGCTGACTCGATCGATAATTCAAGCACAAGTCTTTTTTTCAACATTTTCACATGTATAAGCTGGTTTTTTTACTTGATTCGAATTCAATGATCGCTCGACTATCAAGAGGCCGCTCACAAACTTCTCAAAATGGGTGTCAAGCCAGAATTGGAGGTATTGATAGAATATAAAACGTTTTTGGCTCTTTCAAATTGCTAGGTACTTTAACCGTGGAACCCGCTTTTCTTAAGTTTTTAGGTACCTAACAATAGAAAAGAGCCACATTTTTTTTGTTTTAGCTGGAAGTCATTCACAGGCTCGTTGATTGTTGTGCACAGCAACGTACTTATGAAGGGTTTTATGGACTTCTCTGCGAGCTTTCTTCGACGATGTGACTCTTAAAATATTAAATGGTGCGTCAGAAATAATTGTGAATGTTGATTGCGATGAGGAAGAGGGAGAGGGTCCGAGAAGAGAGAAGGTTTTTGGAGATGGGGACATGCTCAGAAGTATGTTTGAAGAGATTCTGCAATTGGGCTGCGGAAATAGGAAGAAAAGAAGGGAGGGTCGTTTCGAAGTTTGCGGTGCGAGTTAAAAAGTTCACTCTGAAAATATCCTCCTTTTCATAAAGATACTGAGATTTAGTACCTTTTGATATTGAGTGTGTGTCTGTTACCATGTTCTCATCTCAGTTTTTAGCTATAGTGCGAGGAGAGGGGAGTAAGTGGATTAATCATCATCGGGACCGGGGATCAGGGGAAAATATCGAATTTGCAATTGACTCCTCTCTAATGAAGAAAAATTGGGTGTTGGTCAGTGGGTTAAGAGAGAAGGCCCAAGGGACAAAAGTCAGGTTGGATTAAAAGTTCTTGAATAAATCTAACAAGATTATCAAGACACCAAATCACCCGAGATTCAAAGTGATAGTTGACTGATGCTGAGACAATATATACAACAAGATTGGCGAGTAGGATTCTCAAGAATTCGTCCTGTCTCACGGTTCACATACATAAAACCCTTGCCAGAAAGCTTAGTTAGAAAGTTTTGGAACTTGATGATAGGAGAGATGCTCTGTTAAAATATGTAATCAACAAATTTTGAAGAGCACAAACAAATGAAGTTAGCAAATTATTTCTGATGGGAGAACAACAGCTTCAAAGGCAAGATGGTAAAAGGTGGGTCTATCCTCGTAAGTTGGAGACCGATTTGGTTGACGGAAGAGAGAGAAATCGAGAATTGGAAAGGAAAATCGCCGAGACGAAAAGGAAGGATGACGATCTCGACGCACAGTTGTACTAAATTTGCAATTTCCTTTTTTTTGTCAGCATAAAATATTGATAAAAATCGAACTCTTTTTAGAAGAATTCAAAATAAGGAAGTGAGAGACGGAAGAGCCAAGATTCGCGTGCAAGACGAAGAAATCAATCAAGGTCGTTTCTGTAACAACTTTGGCACAACGACCCGTTGGTCGAGGGACAAGCTTCCTTTATGCACGGCGATACTATCATTTCGTTTGGTTTCATTTATTCAAGGTATTATGTACAGCACTAACTAAAAGTTAAGTGATTAATAAAATAACAACGTTGGTTATCTCGTTTTGCAAAAAGTTTCCAAGCCTCCAATTAGTTGTATTTTCAATTTAGTCTTGGGAACACACATGAAAGTTCCCACATTTTTGTTTGAAACTCCGCCTTTTATCATTCACCAACTTCACACGAACTAGCCGATTTGTGGGGTTTTTCGCCAAATCTCTGCTTCTATCAAAAACAGTCTTTAATTTAATCGAAGAGTTTAGGGAAGATATTAAAAAAGACAAAGACATCGAGATGAGTCGATGAAGGGAGTGATATACTGGGAGTTGCTGGATAGCAAGACGACCCTTAATGCAATCAAATACAGTGAACAATTGGAAAAGGTGAATGAATCCCTGAAGAAGAATAGGCCCTCTAAGTCAAAGATCGTTCAAAGATCTAATAGTCTATTCAGGAGAGCGACGAGAGAGCAAAATACTTGCAGCTTCAGGCGGAATTCTGGGTTTTTGGAAAAACTTTTTATATGGGAATTTGAAGAAACAATTCAGAAATAAAGAAAAAGATAATGTGCAGTTGTGTGTTTTCAGAAGATTGAATAAAATGGGATTTATTGGTATTTGTCCATAAAAAAGGAACATAAGACATTTATCAGAATTGAGAGCTCCTTTTGCAGACAAAAATATTCTGATAGGTAGGAGAATAGACCCCCCATTTCCCATCCTCGCTCCGAAGCTGAAACGTTTTCATTTCTGATGGCAATCTTTGATAAAAAACTTTGTGTTATTTCACAAAAAGAAATTTCCTGAAAGTGCTCGAAATATTTTTAGTTTAATTATGCATTGGAAATTGGAATAAATATTGATGATTTCACATTGAGAATCTCACCGCAGCGTGGGTGTGCGAAACCGGGTATCCCGGAAACCAATTCGTGAAATTCACCGAACTTCCATCCGTCCATTCAAAAGCATTTCCTTTGTTCGGATTTCTCTGAATAAAGAAATTTTTATGTTTCACTATTGCTATTTCAACCATATTTTTTTTCCATTTTAAAACTATTCTAGTTTTTCAATCTTATTTAGATTTCTATCAATTTCTATCATTTTAGATTTCCATCAAAGAACTATCAGGCCAAGGGATCATTTTTCCACAAAAATCTTCCTAAAATGGTTGTTATTACTTTCTTTTTATTTATTTCTTTAGGAAAAATTCAACCTTCAGTCCGATCCGGAAGTGAGAATACGAACCAACAGTTTTCGCTGAAATAAACATGGATTGCTTTTGGTTTATAAAGCATAGATTTCTACGATAATCATAAATTTTCAGAATTGAATCATTTCGTTTTCTTACCGAGTTCCTGAACAAAATAGTTCTCTTCCTGACTGTGAATGGAGACTAGATGGCTCTTTCGACTCGCACAATATGCCTCGGCCTCATCAAATGAAATTCTTTGATCGATAACCTTGAGATGAAGATAATCCGGGCTCACAACATCCACCAAACCTTGTACCAAGAAGCGGTTTTTGCCAAATACGACCATCCACCCGGATCCAAGAGATTCATCGTTCGATTTCTGAATTTCTTCGAAAAACATTATTCCAAACTTTGTAAACAAATACCCAATCCTTTTTCTTAAAAAACTCACAAATCTGCATGCAACTTCGCAATCTCGGCCGTTTTGTTTTCCCGTTCAAATCGTCTAGAGAGGAATTGTTTGGATTGAGTGGAATGGGTGTTTTGGGCGTAAAAAAAACTGTTTTCGCAAGTCTCAGTCGACAAGAGATACCAAATAAACTCACATTTGGGTTTCGGGGTCAGAGTTCTTGCTCTGCAACGCGTTGATTTTCCCGTCGAGCTCTCCAATCTTGGTTTTTCCGTCTCTCACTTCCGTATTTTGAGTGCTTCTGAAAAAAAGTTAGCATTTTAACTATTGGGTTGGGAAGAATGAGTCGGCGCCAAACTTTAAAGGGACTTTTTGCACACATAAAGCCTTCTTTAAACATACGTTTGGTTTCATCAAAAGGATCCACTATTTCTCTACAAAATAACTTTTGAGAGATTCCACAGAGCTTTTTTTTCGTGGAGTTTATGAACTTCCAAACGCAGCTGGTTAAAATGGCAAAGAGTCCGACTCATCATTTGAACAGTTTCTTTCACATAAACCTTCTTTGGTGTTTATATAAAAAAGATAGAGCACATTCAATTACTTAAGTTGCCAAATTTGCAGGAAGATCCCACCAATGGCTTTTTCTAGATCACAGTTTGTAGTTTTTGTGAAAAAATGGCTTTTTCTTGAGCGGAGGCGCTGTTTGAATTTTCTTTTAAATGTGATTTTGTAGAGAATTAGTTAACCATTCTACTGATATATATTATTTGACAAAGTCGAATAGAAGTTTTAGACATTTTTTTTTTATTTTCGGCGCCGACTCATTCTCCCCAACCCAATATATATTGAGCTTGTCAAAAAGAAAATTACAAAATTAGTACAATTGTGCTTCGAGATCGTCGTTCTTCCTTTTTGTCTCGGCGATTTTCCTTTCCAATTCTCGATTGCTCTCCCTTTCGGCAACCAAATCAGCGTCCAACTTTGCGTTTTTCCCCATTAAATTCGCCTCGATTTGAGCCATTTTTGCTGTCAATCGACTCATCTCGACGTCTTTGTCCTTCGTTTCGTTCAGCTTTCTTGCGCTGAATACTCAAATTACTCACTACTCAAAATCCAAAAGAGATGAGCTTGAATTCTTCAAGATTTTTGATTTCACCCACATTTCCGTCTGGAGTCGGCAGATTTTTACTCGAGCCTCAACGAGTTCTTGTTGGGTTTCATTCCTGAAAAGTCTTTTCGTTGAAACTCTCAAGCCTATTTCTTGTTTATTCTATCAATTTCGCTTTTCTCTCAAAAAAACCAAAATTAGATTTTGACAAGATCCCAAGCACCAGACAAGATCCCAAGCGGACGGTATCTGGACAATCCTTTCTACTTCTGAAACCTAAGATCATCGAAAAATCTCTTTCTGACCAACTTCGAAGTACAACGATCACCAGACAGAATCTCATCTCGATCATTCGGAGATCTGAATGGTTGAAAACATAGCTATTCGAAGGAAAAAGAATACGTGGATGGATCCACTTGAACGCTTTGTTGAATCGACGAAGAAGTTTGATGAGAAAGAAGGAGAATCGTGATGAACAGACCGACGGCCATCACACCCTTTCTGCTGAATTGGTTGATTCGTTTTGAATTCGGGGAAACGGGAAGAACGAATGAGACAACGATGCGATAAACAATTGTTTTTTCACCGAAAAGAGCTTTTGAGAGCTCTGAAATTGTTTAGAAAAGCGATCGCCTTCCAACCGACGATTGACTCATTAAGCCGTTGCAACAATCACTTCCAATAGCACTTCAAATAGAGAAAAAAAGTGGCATTTCAGGAAAAATAAAACCGTCACGTCGTGTGAAGTTGGTGAGTGATAAAACACGGAGCTTCAAACAAAAATGTGGGTATTTTCATGTTCCCCACACTTTGCAAACCCCATTCAATATTCTTTAATTCTTTCAGAGATAATAAAACGGTCGAGGAGTGGTACATAGATTTGTGAATTATATCTGACAAAGACGCTTTCTTTGGTCGAAGCTTGTCTATGAGCTTATGGCCTTCGATGATGCCTAAGGCATATTGTCTCTCAGGGAAAGGTTTGCGAATATGTAGCTTTTTCGTGAAACAGAATATCTAAAAACCCTTTTTAACTAGGAAATCACCAACAAAGAAAACTCTTCGAGTCAAATATTTCCTTGATGTCTTTATAGCCCGACAAAGATCTCCACGAGGCCAATGGACTAAAAAGGCAGCACGGCACCCGGAGTGATGACCATGCAATTGCTCGGCGAGGTGAGCAGCGCCTTGAATGGCAAATATCCACAATACGATATCAAGGATCTTTCATTCCTAATTAGTGCAGTCCTGGGTGATTCGGAGGTTGGCGATTTGATCCACTGATGTGATTCTCTAGAGGATCAACCAGATATGAAAACAAGTTGCGATCTCTCCGAGAGAAAACGTCGAAAATGCTTTCCACTTTTGGCACCACGATACAAATAGTCACCAAACACGTTGCAAGCAACCAACACCCTAGAGCCTGAATGAACACGCTGAGACTAGTCGCTACGTCGCTGAAGCCTTTTAACAGCTAAAGCAGTAGCTCACATTCCTTCATAGGGCAGTTAATTTCGCGAATTCCCGCCGCTTACGCATGCGTTCTGCAAGATATTCAGAATCATCACTTGACGCGTTAAACGTTAAACTAAATATTAAACAAAGAAAGAAAAAAGATAGTTTTGAAAAATATTAGCAGCTCACCGCTAAATATGCTATAATTATGTCGTCCAGCTTTACACTAAAATTCTTGAAAAATCTTATAGACAGAATTTGAGGATTTTTTAGATGGTAAAATACTAATTTTAGAAGATTTTCTACGTTCAAATTTTGGCCCGATAGCTTAAATTAGAAAAAAGTTTCGGTAAAAACAAAAAATATGCTAAAATTATGTCCGCTACTGTACATAGCTGAATGATTTCATCGAACCAATTTCGTCTGAAAATGGGATTTCATTTGCTTTTGACTATAAAGACATATACAGCTCATTATATCTACAATACATACATACATTATCTACTTGCTTAATCGTTAAGATTACCCAAAAAGAGACAAAAAACTCCGCCTATAGAAATAACGGTGAGAACAAAAATCAAAGGTAAATCGACGACAACTGGACGAGTTGAGGGACGAGAAGAGCGACCTTCACGAAGAATTTTCAGTTTCCTCATGCTGATGTCCATTGATGTTCAACACGTTTATCTAATAGTCTATTCAGGAGCGACGAGAGAGCAAAATCTTAGGTTGGCGGGAAAATAATGCGAATTTTTTTGACCCGAATTTTTCCTTAAAAAAACAATAAATAAAGAGGATTAATATAAAAGGTATTCTGCATTATTATTTAGGACATTATGTCATCTTTTGCTCAATTCAATAATTCCATCTTTAAAGAACTGGGGACTTTTTGACGACAAATAGTTGGTGACCAAATTTTCGACTTCCCGGAAATTTTTGAACAGCTGATCGGGGATGAACTGCTTTAGAGACCTGAATAAGTGATAGTCGGATGGGACCAAATCAGGGCTATATGGGGCGTGAGGTAGAAGTTTCCAGCCCATCTCTTCGATTTGTTGGAGGGTCATCTTTGCCGTGTGCGGTTTTGCATTATCACGCAAAAATTGAATTTTTGAAGTGTCATGTCGAGATTTCGATGAAGCTTGATTCACACGCTCTAACTGCTCACTGCAAAGTTCAGCTGTGACATTTTTACCCAGTTTGAGCAGTTCAAAAGAAAACAATCCACGAGAGTTCCACCATACGCACAACATCAACCTCTTTAAATGCAGACCAGGTTTTGACGTGACAACCGGGCGTTGCTTTGGTGATAGCCATTGGTGCCTGCTTTCTTTTCTTTCAATTCCTGAAACAGTTTATCATGGGAGAAAAGTTCGATGATCATGCTCAAGTCAAAAAAGCGGTCGAAGAAGCTAGTTTGGCTGCAGTTTAAGTTCAGATGTTTGATTCAAGACAAACGTAAGTTCACAGTTACCAGTTTTTTTTCCTCAATTCAAAGCAGTAGACCAATCAGAGACGAGTGGGAGACGAAAATTGAATTCTCGCGAGAATTACCAAATTTTCAATCTCAAAAATGCCGGAAATTGTAAAAAAAGGCATTCCGCAATTGTGGAAATGGTCTTGCTAAGAATATGGGAAAAATTTCAAGATATCATCCTCATTTTGTTGATAGGATTTGTCTTGATGGGTAAGTCGAAATTGAAAAATTACAAAGCAAAACAAATTTCAGGCACCTATTCCTTTTTGATGTACTTTTTCTTGGAAGTTGGGTGGTGTTTGCTGAAAAAACCGATTGGTATTCGGCACAACTTTGTCGAGAATTTTCTGACAGTACTGGAGAATGCGACAGCTGTGGTAAGGTCTTTGACAGAGGAATTGTCCAGCTTCTAACATGTTTAGACAAGAAAGCTTTCAGACATTTCTAGAAATTGACTCTGTCTAGCCAGTTCATAACTTTCAAAAGAAGAGTCGACCAAGCTGTGAAAACTAGACCTTGCTGGGTTTAGGGTTAGTGTTGGCTTAGATTTTAACAGCCAGCTTTCATCAAGATGCACGCCAGTATCAAAATCAATGACAGGTTTTATAATAAAAATGAACCTCAAATTTGAAAATTTTGCCGATTTTTACCCTAGAAATGCTTCTTCGTGATAAGATTTTTGTTTTGAAAATCCTTTTTGGATGAATTGCCACCTGGCTTCTTTGACATTCTGACCCTTTTACTGCAAAAATGGCGAACTCTTAATCAGTCTGACCGTAAAACGGCTAGTTTTAAAGGGAAATGTTTTTTTCTAATCGATCTAAAATCTCCAGTCATTGGTGCTTTCCCTCTTCACAACTCTAATTTTCAAAACACTAACCCTAAACCTAACACTAACCTAACACTAAGCCAACACTAACCCTAAACCCAGCAAGGTCTAGTTTTCACAGCTTGGTCGACTCTTCTTTTGAAAGTATGTCGTTTTCTGTAGGTGGAATGAGTTGCCAAAAGAAGAGAAGCGATACTACGGACGGTAGAAAAGAGAGTAAACAAAACGTTGACCTACTCGTGTCCATTCTGTAAATCTTCATCACCCGTTCAAAATTTCCGAGGTGATTTCCAAGAAACTGTTTGTCCTTTTTGCACCGGTTCTTATTCTATTTGGTTAACTAATTTATAAATTCTTGTACTAATTTTTGGTCTTTTCTCAAAGCAAGCCAAAGGCCAGCTGGTAATCTGTTTTGGTCTCTTTGAATTTTCAAAATTCCCATTTGTTTTCTTATTTGTCTTGAAAATTATTTTAAGGGAGATGCCTGAAGGAAGATGCTTGACGGGAGATGCTTTGAAAAAATGATGATCAATCACTTTCTTTAGAAGTCGCCATTCTTGAAGTATCCCGAATCGACGCTGTGCTCGCCGTGCTTGTGCCATTCGATTTGATAATGTTGCTAGTGGCTCAAGAACACAGACCGCTTATGTATGAACTGAGAACTGGTCTGGAATGCGATAAGCCACTAGTTTATCTCTTGATGTGTCAACCCACTTGAATCCAGAAGCTCGGAATTGATTTTCTCCGGCACGAATAATTCCAACACTCAACTACCGAGCTGATTAGGTTCAGTCGAGTGGATTTCATTAATTGGCATCAGGAATACCCGGATTCGTACACCCACGCTGAGATGAGATCTTCAGGGTGAAATCATCAATATTTATTCCAATTTCCAATGCATAATTGATCCAAAAATATTCCGATCAATCTGAGGAAATTTCTTTTTGTGAAATAACGTAAAGTGTTTATCAAAGGATTTCCATCAGAAATCAACACATTCTCCCTATTCTCCTACCACTCCCCGAGAGTCAGCGTTTTATTCAGAGCGTTTGATCTGCAAAAGGAGCTCTCAATTCTGATAAATGCTTTGTGTTCCTTTCTGTGGACAAAAACCAATGAATCCCATTTCATTGAATCTTCTGAAAACACACAACTGCACATTAATGTTCGTGTTCGTCAGTTTCGCATCGAGCAGATCGGAATTCACTTCTCGTCAACAAATACACAAAAAATGTTTGATTTATCACTGCACTGTCTCTGTTTCCGATTGTTGTTGTCGCCCATTCGATTCAGCGATTGAAATTTCCCGTAAGTTCGATATGAAGAATAAGATTTACAGTAATTAGCTGAGAATTTATTGGGATTCCCTTATTGAGGAGTTTTCTGATTATGCAGATTGACCAAAATCAATAAATTTGAGACTAGACTTTTCTTGATTTGCTATTTGCTGAATATTTGATTAAAGAAGACAAAAATCAGCCAAGAAGTTTATTAGGTGCTACGGAAAATAATTGCCCGAAACCCGATCTTCGCCCAAAGATGCTCTCATTTTGGTGAGTGTCATTCATTATACTTTGGTCAAAACGGGAAAAACTATATTCAAACATTTATATTGAAAAAAATTGAAGAAATGTATTCAAAATTGAGAATTTTTAGCCTGTCTTTGGCCAATCGAAAGAGACAATGCTGCTGCAGAACAATGCTAGCCACAATCTATATCTTTGAAGACCCTCAATTGCTTGCAAAGTTTGAAGATCGAAGTTCTTCCTCATCCGCCGTATTCACCTAATCCTGATTCTGATTCTTCGTTGTTTCTATGTGCTGAAAATAAATGAAATTCAAAATCTCTGGGTTTTTATGGGACAACCTAATAGTTCAAAAGTTGATCAAGAAATTTGATTCAAAAAACCGTTTCGAGGAGCAAAAAAAATACGAAATGCGGTCTTTATGGGAGAACAAATGAAGTCTACAAAATGGCGACGAGATTTGGAATTGGAGAGCCCTTTTCTCACTTGGAGTTCGTAAAGGAAATTGATGTGTCCAAAAATGACGTAAGAAATCAAAAAAAGGGCTAAATACTCAGTTAATCAAGAAAAGTAGCAAATTATTGGGTTAGTGCAGATAAAGCTTATGGCGAAAAAGAGGTAAAATAATGAGATGAAGAAAGGGGCGTTCAGCTAGTATCACCAGAATAAAAAAATGTTTAAAAAAGGTGGAAGCTTTAGCGCCGAAAATTTCTCAAAATGCCCTCGCATAACCATTTTATTTCAAAAAGTGTAGAGGTTAATTATTTAGCTGAATATCTTTAACTCACCTTGAAAGGGTCCCGTCAAGCAATTATTTTATTTTTCGCGTGCTCTTGAATTAGCCAATTTTGCATTTTTTCGCCGTTCTATTTCTGTCACCCTTTCTCTCCTCTCGTGCAAAAACCACACTGATCCTCCATCAAGCGCCTAGTTATATGCCTGTCTTGTATTCGAATCCTTTTCTTCCAAAGATTATCCCGAAAAGCCGTTCTTTTTGTTTATGAGGACTTCTTCCCGCGCCAATCTTGCTCTTTTTAACATTTTATCTACTTAAATTTGTTTTTAATTTTGTTTTCAGAGAATGTCTGTTCAACCAGTCAACCCAAAGCCGTTCCTCAATGGACTCGCCAGGAAGCCAGTTGTGTGCAGATTGAATGGAATATCGAGGCGTCCTCATCTCGGTCGACGGTTACATGAATGTCCAGGTGGGGTTGTCTTTGTGTAAAGTTTTTATGGCATAGCTTAAAGCTAGTTTGGAGAGGTACGTTCTGAATTTTTTTAGTTTTGATGTCGCTTGTGAACAGTCAGATTTATGACGAGTAAGCTCGCTTAGGCCTAGGCATTCACAAATAAATTTTTTATCTTTTAGATGGCTAACGCGGAGGGATACATTGATGGAACAAACACTGGAGCTTTGGGGGAAATCTTAATAAGGTGATTAAAGTGACTTTTGTCTAATTTGTATAAATCTAGGTGCAACAACATCCTCTACATCGGAGGCGCCGAAGACTCGAAAAGTTAATCGCCTAGTTTTCATTATTTATCATTTTGCTAACTTGTTGAGTGTGTAACGTGATTATTGATCTCTTGTTTATGAATAAAGTTTAATTTGTTGAGGTAATTATATTAACGGTTCATGGTGCATGAATCAAACGCAATGCCTATAAACTAGAAAGTTTACATGCGAATTAAAAGGAAATGCTGTTGCTGTTGTGTGAAGCACTTCTCAGAACTCAGTTTTATGACGATGAAACATTTAGGTAGTTTAAGATGGGCCGCTCCAAGGACTCCATCTGGCTCCGGGGAAGGCTCTCCAGAGGACGAGTACATTGGCAGGTTGGTTTTATTAAAAGCTTTTGCTAGCCAAAGCCAAATCTCTTTAGTAACGGAAAGCCGCCAGAGCCAGAGCTCGAAAAAAAGGCAGAGTAAAGTATGTTTTTTGAATTATGCTGATCGTCGCTGTAGTAATGACGCTAGTAGGTTCGAAATTTTAAAAGTATTTGACAACTTTCAGCTAAATCACTACAATTTTGAGTAGAAGAAAACGAGACACTAACTTATACAAGGTTCAATGAAGTTATTGTGTTAAGTTTTAGCTGAGCAAATCTTGGCAGCAACTAATAAGCACAACAATTGCAGATCTCGATCCGCTAGTCCAAGAAAGAGAAGTCCTCGCCGACATCAATCAAAAGATCGAAACAAGAGTCGGTAGTGTTGGCATTTGCACACTGAGAATACATTCTGATTCTTAGATCTCCAAAAAGGTCACGACGTAAAGCCAAAGAAAGACGCAGATCTCGAGATCATGATCATGACCGTGGGGAGCGAGATCGCGGGGACCGGGATCGGGGGCACCGGGATCGAGGGGACCAGGACCGTGGCCGTTGGGACCATGAACGTTTACCAGAAAGACGCAGAGGTGGCGACCGCTCTCCGAAAAGGCGATGACGGTTAGTTTTAAAAATTGTCTTTGTTTACAGCTGATTTAGGTGACCATCCCCTACACGTAAAGCTTCTCCAGAAAGGCGAAGACTAACCGAAGACGAAACGGTTAATTTAACCTGGGTTGCATTCAGTATTAGTGATTTAGGTCGCTAACGCCAAAACGTGCTCGACGTGAAGAATCACGTGCCTGTGAGAGAAAAGCCTGTGGATTTATTGTGTTCTCGCACTGGAGGCGCAGACATCCCACCAGCCAAGTTGAATTTGGTGCAAGAATAAATCCAGGTAATGCATCAAATGGTAACGTGGCCACAGAAAAAAATTAGGAGAAATCGGGTGAGCAACTTCAACGGTTGAATTGGGAGTTTCTGAAGAAAAAGATTCACGGTCTCGTCAATAAAGTCAACGCCAGCAATATTGTCGGAATGGTGCGAGCTTCTTCAAGAAAAAATTATCCGTGGAAAGTTTGTTTTTTAGCATTTTCTCAAGTAAACGAAATTTTAGGGGTTTGCTGACTGGATCGATAATTCAAGCACAAGTCTTTTCTCCAACATTTTCACATGTATACGCTGGTTTCGTTGGAGTGATTAATTCGAAGTTTCCTGTTATTTGTGAATTGGCACTTAAGTATGTTTCACAGTGTTAGGCTTTAGAAATTATGTATTTAGGCGTTTGATTGTGCAGTTCAAGCGATCTTTTCGTCGAAACTACAAGGCAACAACGGTGACTGTCAGTAAATTTCTCGCACATTTGATCAATCAACAAGTGTTATGCTGTTTGAATATGAATGCGATGCATATTTAGGCTCACGGGTTGCTTGCTCTTGAGATCATGCTTTTGACGCTTCAAATACCAACGGAAGATTCAGGGGAAGTGTGTATAGCTTTTCTAAAAGAATGTGGCGCGAAACTGACAGAGGTTTGCTTTATTTAGAAGCGCTTATTGAGAAATGATCTGTTAGATTGCCCCGCGTGCCTTGGACAATGTTTTCTCAAGACTTCGAAACATTCTTGCTGGAGCACAATTGGATTCACGTATTCGTTATATGATTGAAACTGCAATGGTAATTCGGAGAGATAAATTTGCGGTCAGTTTTTAGTTCTATTGCCTGGCAAAGTTTATTCTTTAAGGACTACCAAGCTTTAATTGATGAACTCGATCTTATTTCGGAAGAGGACCAAATTACACATACCCTTTCCCTTGAAGATGCTGCCGATCCTGAAAATATGCTTAGTGGGTGAACTGAAAAAGTTGATTTTCGAGCAGCTTGGCTTTCAAACAAACTTTACAGACATTCTCAAATTGGATCTCGATTTTGAGAAAAATGAACCTGCCTTCGACGAGCTCCGTGAACAAATCATTGGTGACGCCGGTGAAAGTAAAGAGCAATCAAAGGAAGAGTACGAGGATGCAGATGGTGACGACGAGGTAGCTGCAAACGGTAGACATTCAATTTTATTGATTTAAATTTTATAATATTACGATATTGATAATAATATTACGATATTGGTATTATGAAACTGAGGAATATGGCTCGTTTAATCAGTCATTTGCTATTCATAGATGCCATTACTTGGTATCTAAGTCTCTATGCGAATATTTACTGTTTCGTATCCATATTTAAAGTGTTAAAATTTAGGTTTTAAGCGAAATCTATTTGAACGAGAATGAGACAACTTCTTCGGGCAGGATTTACATCAAAACCATTTTCCTTGAATTGGCTCAAATGATGGGACTTCCAAAGCTGTAGGAAAGAATCTGTGATCCGTAAGTTCGACATCTCGACACAAATGCTTGTTTCTACGAAAATTGAACGGAATCTGTATCGAAAGTTCTGGGGGAATCGATCGAAATCATTTGATAATCTCTTTCGAGGAGCACAACAAATACGGACGATTGGAGAATCAATTCCTTTTCTCAACGAACACCATTACGGCTCATCTTTCCAAAGAAAATCGTCAGATTGAGCCGTTGTAAACTGAAATTCCCTGTCATTTGTAAATCGTTATTTACTCAATTCAATTTACTCTACGGTATATGTGAGCCAACTGTTGCATTCCCATTCGCATTCCCCTCCTTTCCCTTTATTTTCCGTGGTAGAAATCCCTATTTTGCTTAGCAACAAATTTCTTGTTTGATTTTGTCTTCTCTCATCAATTCTGCCTCTTTAGTAGCTGTCCCCTTTAATTTTCACTTGTTCTTCGAGGAAATTCAGTCATTTTGTAGGCATCCAATCGTCTAGCAACCGAAATGGACGATCGGAAGAAAATCGCCGAACTCGAAGCCGATTTGTGGGTTTTTGGCCAAATCTTTGCTGCTATCCAAAACAGTCTCTAATTTAAACGAAGAGTTCAGGGAAGGAATGAGAAAGGACAAAGACGTCGAGATGAGACGATTGGCAGCAGATATGGTTCAAATCGAGGCGAAGTTAATGAGGAGAATCGCAAAGTTGTGGGCTGAATTGGTTGACGGATGGACGAGGAATCGTGAATTGGAAAGGAAAATGACCGAGACGAAAAAGAAGAACGAGGATCTCGAAGCACAATTGTACTAATTTTGTAATTTCCTTTTAGACATGCTTTTTGGGCGAAAAGCGAAATTGATAGAAGAAACAGGAAGTAGGCTTGAATGTCTCAATGACAAGACTTTTCAGGAATGAAATCCAACAAGAACTTGTCGAAGCTCGAGGAAAAATCTACCGACTCGAGACGGAAATGTGGGTGAAATGAACAAATCTTAAAGAATGGAAGCTCATCTTTTTCAGTAAATGTGAACAAAAAGAGAGAAGCGATGGATTCACGAAGATCAACTCGAAAATCTCTCAAAGTGATGATCGATCGACGCAAATTGATGCTGAATTGAAAGTCGAGATGTGAGTCTTGAGATCCCTTAAAGAAATATCTGAGGATGAGACACTTTTAGAGATTCCAAAGTCGCCGAAATGTCAAAAATCATCTCCATGAAAATGGCTCAAATTGAGACGGATTTAATGGGGGAAAACGCCGAGACGAAGAAGAAGAACGACGATCTCGAAGCACAATTGTACCAATTTTGTAATTTCCTTTTTTGACAAACGAATATATAGTCAAAGTGCGAACTTTTTTTCAGAAGACTTCAAAATACGGAAGTGAGAGACGGAAAAGCCAACATTGGAGAGCTCGAAGGGAAAATCAACGCGTTGGAGAGCAAAAACTTTGATCTCGAAACCCAAATGTGAGTTTATTTGGTATCTCTTATCGACTGAGACTTGAGAAAACAGTGTTTTCAGAAATCGGACGATCACTTTCTTGGATCTGGATGGATGGTCGTATTTGGCAAAAACCGCTTCATGGTACAAGGTTTGGTGGATGTTGTGAACTAGGATTATCTTTATCTCAAGGTTGTCGACCAACCAATGACATTCGATGAAGCCAAGGCATATTGTGCGATTCGAAAGAGCCATTTAGTCTCCATTCAAAGTCAAGTAGAGAATGATTTTGTCCAAGAACTCGGTAAGAAATCGGTAAGAAATATGTGTACGTTTTTGTTTGGGAACTCGGTAAGAAATCGAAATGATTCAATTCTGAAAATTCATGATTTTCGTAGAAATTTATTCGTTATAAACCAGAAACAATCGATTTTTATTTCAGCGAAAGCTGTTGATTCGAATGCTGGGTTCTGGATCGGACTAAAGGTTGAATTTTCCTCATTGAAAGAAATAAATGAAAAGAAAGTAATGATTCATTCGGCCATTGGCTCTTTGTGAAAAACTGATTCGTTGGACTGATGTTTTTTTGATAGAAATCATAGTTTGAATTGAAGAACTAGAATATTTTTTAATAGGAAAAAGATTTGGTTGAAATATCAACAGTAAAACAAAAAAAAATGTTTTTTCCAGAAAAATCTGAACAAAGGAAATGCTTTTGAATGGACGGATCGGAGTTCGGTGGATTTCACGAATTGGTTACCGGGATATCCGGATTCGGAGACCCACGCTGTGGTGAGATTTTCAACGTGAAATCACCAAGATTTATTGCGATTTGCAATGCATAATTAATTGAAAAATATTTCGATCAATTGGGGGAGACTTCTTTGTGTAAAATAACGTAAAGTGTTTTATCAAAGGATTTCCATCAGAAATGAACACATTTCAGCTTGAGAGCTACGATGGGGAATGGGGGGTCTGGTCTCCCGCCTCTCAACTTGGTTTTATCTGCAAAAAGAGCTCTCGAATCTGAGAAATGCTTTGTGTTCTTTTATTTGGACAAAAATCAATAAATCTATTCAATCTTCTGAAAACACACAACTGCAAAAAGAGCGCTCGAATCTGAGAAATGCTTTGTGTTCTTTTCTTCGGAATTTGGAGTTTATGAGTGACTTTCTCTCCAAAAATCTTCGATCATGTAAGAAAATTAATATCCCCGCTTCGTTGAGCAAGTTTTATGAGCGGTTTTCAAGAAACGAGTTACAAACAATTGTCTTCAACTATTATAAAATGTTAGATCCAGAATTCGACGAGCTTCTAGAATCCTTTCGGTTCGCTCTGGATCATTGCATTCCGAGTCGGGCAAAAAACTGTTCAATGTTCAAAAATTGCCTGATTTGTTTAAAGTTCGTTCACTATAAAGTAACTGTTGTATTTTGTATCGTCAAATAAATTTATGAGGGAAAAATTGAAGGTATCATAATTCCTGCTAAAGATTCAACAGTTCATCACGGATGATCAGAAATTCGGTCGTTCAACTCATTTACCAAGTTTCTCAAGATCTATCCAATAAGTAATATTAGTTCCTGGCCAGGCTTAGCCTTAGGCTTGGTTGGAACCTGGATTGTTCCAAGCTTTCCGAGCCAAGCCAGGTAATGCTGGACTTCTTCTTTTAGTATAGTGTTGAAATCGAGGTTTGTTTCACCGAAAGCTCACCCCGGAGATCAATGGGAAACGTTTTGTCAGAGTTCTGCTAGGATTATCGTAAGTAGACCGAGTGTTCTTCTAACTTGACTAAGAACTTGAACTTTTGTCCCACCTGGGCACTTCAGCTCGCGCTCCTGGTCGATCACCGCTTGCCGGAATCTCATGTTGGTCACTCGTTTCTGCTGGCTGCCATCGCATTGGAGTACCGCCAAGATCGCCGAGCCGGATTCGAGAGCCCACGCTTGGGTGAGATTTTCAACGTGTAAATATCAAGATTTATTCCCAGTTTCAATGCATAATTTGGATCAATCGGAGCAAATTTCTTTTTGTGAAATAACGCAAAGTGTCTTATCAAAGGATTTCCATCAGAAATGAACACATTTCAGCTTCGGAGCTACCACGGGAAATGGGCGGTCTGCTCCCCTACCCTTCAGTCTTATTTTATCTGCAAAAGGAGCTTTCAATCAATTCTGATAAATGCTTTGTGTTCTGTGGACAAAAACCAATAAATCCTCTCTTACTCGTTTTTTTTTGAAAAGACACAACTGCACATTATCTTTTTCTTTATTTCTGAATTGTTTCTTCAAAATCTCATGACAAGTTTTCCCAAGAACCCAGAATTCCGCCTGAAGCTGCAAGTATTTTGCTCTCTCGTCGCTCCTGAATAGACTATTAGATAAACGTGTTGAACATCAATGGACATCAGCATGGGGAAACTGACAATTCTTCGTGAAGGTCGCTCTTCTCGTCCCTCAACTCGTCGATTTGTCTTTGATTTTTGTTCCTGAAGTTCTCAAAAATTCGACGATGCGATAAACAATTTTTTTTTACGGAAAAGAGCTTTTGAGAGCTTTGCAATTGTTTCGATAAGCGATCGCCTTCCAACTGACGATTGACTCATTAAGCCGTTGAAACAATCGGTTCGAATAGAACTTCGAACAAAAAAAGTGGCAGTTTAGGAAAAATAAAACCGCTAGGTTGTGTGAAGTTGGTGAATGATAAAACGCGGAGTTTGAAACAAAAATGCGGGTATTTTCATGTGTGTTCCACAGACGTTGCAAAACTGCATTCAACTTCTCGTCGTCGTTCTCATCGTTCTTCCACGGCTTGTTGAAGCTAGAAAAGTAAGACTATTTGAATTTGAAAGAAAAATTATCGTTAGAAAGAGCTAATGCTCTAAAACACTATACACTTACATCCAGATTAAGCCGAGCTAATCTTTTTTCTTTTTCCCAACTTTCCCAACAATTTATTCATCTAAAAATGCTCTTTTATGAGACGCCTAGTATTGTTATTGTTATACAGAAGAATTCTACCGGAAGAAATTCTCTTTCATCATTGCCGAACCCTGAAGCATCACAGGAATGACATGCCCAGATCATCAATAACATTTGACATTTTTAAAACTTATAAAGAGAAAAAACTACCAGACATATTGTTTGGTAAAAGTCTTGCTCTTGTAGTGGAAGAAACTGTTTTTCCTGAATTGTGAATTCCTGAAAGCTTCTTATTGTGAAGGTTATGAGCATTTACCTTGTTCGAGTTCGAGAAGTTCTTTATTCTTGAATCCGGCATAACGTAATGCCAATTTGTAACGTTTCCTATTGATGTTTCCCGGATAGTAGCCTCCATCATCATCAGATTCTACTTGCTCGAGGTATTGAGATTGCCATTAACGGTCTTGAATTGTAATGAATACATTCACTCAAATCAGCTCACCCAGACTCGGATTTTGCACTCGGGATGTCTTGATGATTCACTGAAAATAGCCGTATTACGTCTGGTTTCTAAAGTGTTGCAAATTTTTATACTTTTGCATAGTTAAACCCTGTCAACAATACTGATACTGAAAATTATTAGATTCAAAAATATTAGAATTCGTTCAAAATAAATTTTAAGGGAAAAGATAAGAGAGTTTCACTGTGAAATTGAGTAAATGCATTTTTGCCAAGTCCCGAAGTATGGCGCTTTTGTAGTGGCCCTACCATACAGGAATGTTTCTCTAAATATAACCAATGTTTGTAAAGACTTTAGAACACTTTAAAATCAATTATTATATCTTAATAATGAGGCAAAAAAGCTTTACCAGCGAGAGGATTCGCACCAGGAACAAAAAAGACAAATTCGAGTCCCACGCCTTAACACACTATGCACTGGGCCACCGAGGCATCCAGACAGCCTGGCGTCAAGGCTTTAAGTAAGCTCGCTTGCTGTTTGGCGAAAGTGAGCGAAACTTTGAAGGCTTATCTCTCGAAAATGGCTCATGATAAAAATTTGAAGGCAGTTTCGGGATGCCCTTAACCGCTTAGCCGAATCTAGGTGGAAACTATGTGATCATGCGTTATTTCGACATACCTAGCGCCGATTCTTCCCATTTCGAAGAGAAAATTCAGAATAGGGAGAATGTGTTCATTTCTGAAGGAAATCCTTTGATAAAACACTTTGCGTTGTTTCACAAAAAGAAATTTCCTCAGATTGAGCGGAATATTTTTGGATTAATCATGCATTGGAAATTGGAATAAATATTGATGATTTCTCCCTGAAAATCTCACAGCGTGGGTGTACGAATCCGGGTATTCCTGATACCAATTAATGAAATCCACTGAACCTTTGGAGGTATATCATCTGTCTGGGCAGTATTTTGATGTGAAGGCAGTAGACATTTCTTGTACAAAAGCAAATGGTTCTAGCTTGGAAGTCTCGGAATTTGAGCGAGAGATGTGCCGGTCCAACCGGCAATGTGCGTCAATTTGCAACAAAATTAATATGAATGGTGTGCAGGATGAGGCCTTTCTCGGCGAAATCATCTTCAATCCTCCCATTCAGGAGATGGAGCTCGTTGAAAAGGTTTAAAATTTGAAATGCAATGCTTTAAAGTCTTTTATCAATAAGAAAACAATAATCTATTCCTTTTAGATCGATTCTGTGCTACCTTATCAGTAGCCTTACCTTATCTTAAGCAGAGTCGATCGAAATGACATCGAGAGACACATCGAGAGATCAACTAGTGGAAATGTATTCCCGTTCTTGACCCACCGGCAACGTTCCGATATCAGATCGAATTGCACAAACACGGCGAGCACAGCGTCGATTCGGGATACTTCAAGAATGGCGACTTCTAAAGAAAGTGATTGATGACCATTGTTTGGAAACATCCTCTTCCTTACGATCATTTAATAACTGCCCACAACAATAAAGCTCTCATTAAAACCCACACGGGTTTCTGTCTTTTGTGATCTCAATGAAATCCTTGTTCTATTTAGATTTTTCCCAATCTTTAGGCACTTGAGCTAATTTGCAAAATGATAACAAATCGATCGCCCCCCGATCGAACCACGGAACGCCGAGCTTCCGATCCATGCCGTTATTCTATTTAATTTGGACTAATAGGGACTCCCTTGATTGAAAAGAGATCTTTGTTAAACTCAAAGCGATTCTCTTTCGTCGGATATCTTCAGTCGCTACTCGTGCCACAAACCGATTTTCAAAGAAATCAAAGAGAAATTCGCTTAGCTCCACGTAATTCTCCGCAAACGTGGCCGAGAACATCACGAGGCAAATGAATGGAGAATTTCGAAAGAAATTAATTTTGATTGCTTTCAGTTTGACATCACTAACGGGCACCTTATATAGTCGACTATTTTCCAAGAAAAGTTGTTGAAAAAGTCTAATGTAGCTGTACATAGCTAAATGATTTCCTCGAACAAATCTCATCTGAAAATGGGGTTTCACATGTACTTTAACCACCAAACGCTACCCCAAAGCTGCTTAGACTTGAAAATAAAAACGAAAATAAAAGCAAATATTGGGTTGGGGAGAATGAGTCGGCGCCGAAAATGAAAAAAATGTGTAAAACTTCAATTCGACTTCGTCAAATAATATGCGTTTGATATGAGTAGAATGGTTAACTAATTCTCTACAAAATGACATTTAAAAGAAAATTCAAACAGCGCCTCCGCTCAAGAAAAAGCCATTTTTTCACAAAAACTACAAACTGTGATCTAGAAAAAACCATTGGTGGGATCTTCCTGCAAATTTGGCAACTTAAGTAATTCAATGTGCTCTATCTTTTTATATAAACACCAAAGAAGGTTTATGTGAAAGAAACTGTTCAAATGATGAGTCGGACTCTTTGCCATTTTAACCAGCTGCGTTTGGAAGTTCATAAACTCCACGAAAAAAAAGCTCTGTGGAATCTCTCAAAAGTTATTTTGTAGAGAAATAGTGGATCCTTTTGATGAAACCAAACGTATGTTTAAAGAAGGCTTTATGTGTGCAAAAAGTCCCTTTAAAGTTTGGCGCCGACTCATTCTCCCCAACCCAATAAAAACGGCAATATGAAACTTGGTACATGTTGTAAATGCTCTAAAAGCATATGCATATTTGATTAGTTAAAAGGCATTGATATACAACGACTCAAAACATGAGATTCAACTAAGCCAGGATAAAAGTGGCCCCTCCCAAATACCAAAGTACCAAAATAAATTGCTTAATGACTAAAATCTATTTCAAAACTTAAAATATACCTCAGTCTTGCTTAAATGATTTTGTATGTGCTTATGACGAAAAAGAGATAAAATAATGAGATGAAGAAAAGGGCGTTGAGCTAGTATCAGGAAAATGAAAAAATGTTTTAAAAAGCTGTAAGCTTTAGCGCCGAAAATTTCTCAAAATGTACTCTCATAACCATTTTATTTCAAAAAAAGTAGATGCTAATTATTTAGCTGAATATCTTTAACTTACTTCTAGTGGTTCAAAAAAGTTCAGTCGAGCAATTATTTTATTTTTCGCGTGCTCTTGAATTAGGCAATCTTACATTTTTACGCCTTTCTATTTTTGTCACCCTTTCCCTTCTCTCGTGCAAAAACCACACTGTCTCTCCATAAAGCGCCTGTCTTGTATTCGAATCCTTTTCTTCCAAAAATTACTTCGAAAAACCGTTCTTTTTGTTTACGAGGACTCCTTCCCGCGTCGATCTTGCTCTTTTTAACATTTTATCTACTTAAATTCGTTTTTAATTTTGTGTTCAGAGAATGTCGGTTCAACCAGTCAACCCAAAGTCGCTCCTCTATGGACTCGCCGGGAAGCCAGTTGTGTGCAGATTGAAGTGGGGAATGGAATATCGAGGCGTCCTTATCTCGGTCGACGGTTACATGAATGTCCAGGTGGGGTTGCCTTTGTCTAAAGTTTTGGTACTTTTCCAATATCGGGGGAACGGTCCGATTATCAGGGGAGCGGAAGGATTATCGGGGGAGCAAATTTTGGGAGCGCTGCATATGTCCTATATTATACAAGCTACTGCCATAAATTCCGCGAATTACCCGTTATTCTCACAATCTTTATATTAGATCACAAAAGTGACTTAAATATCTAACACCAAACCTACCTCTACCTTCCCTATCGGTCGCCTTCTCTTTTTGCCGAACGCTCCACAATCCCGAACGAACAAGTGGCTACCTAAAAAATTATTCATTAATAGTATAATTGACCGTACGAACGAAAGAAATGTAAACGAAGTAACCAAAACAAAAACCTTTCTAGCAATCACAAATTAACTGTAAAAAGGGATTGTATTCATTTCCGCCCCGGCGGGCCAAAAATCCACGATGTCCTCCATGATCGCCTCGAATGCATTCACTCCGGCGGGCAAATTGCGATGCCACAATCCCTCAGCGATATACGAATCCACCATGGTGCCGTGGGTGCCGTGTCGACGTCTGTTCATGTCTTTAAACGGTTTCCACATTCGCTCGATTGTTTGCGTGTGCACGGTCGGATCTCGATTGCCGTCGATTCCTTGAACGCACAAATGTCGGAGAATTGTGCGAGAGCTTCTTCAAGGAGCATTAAAGTTTGTTTTTTAGCATTTTCCCAAGTAAACAAAATTTTAGGGGTTCGCTGACTCGATCGATAGTTCAAGCACAAGCCTTTTCTCCAACATTTTCACATGTATACGCTGGTTTGGTTGGAGTGACTAATTCCAAGTTTCCTGTTATTGGTGAATTGACACTTAAGTATGCTTCACAATTTTAGGCTTTACAAATTATGTATTTATGCGTTTGATTTTGCAGTTCAAGCGATATTCTCGTCGAAACTACAAAGCAACAACGGTGACTGTCAGTAAATTTCTCGCACACTTGATGAATCAACAAGTGGCATGCGGTTTTTCTTTGAATATGAATTCGATGCATATTTAGGCTCACGAGTTGCTTGCTCTTGAGATCATGATTTTGATGCCTAAAACACCAACGGAAGAAGTGGAAGTGTGTATTGCTTTTCTGAAAGAATGTGGCGCGAAACTGACAAAAGTTTGCTTTATTTAGAAACGCTTATTGAGAAATGGTTTGTTAGATTGCTCCGCGTGCCTTGGACAATGTTTTCTCAAGACTTCGAAACATTCTTACTGAAGCATAATTGGATTCACCTATTCGCTATATGATTGAAACTGCAATGGCAATTCGGAGAGATAAGAGAGAGATTTGTGGTCAGTTTTTAGTTCTATTGTCTGGCAAAGTTTATCCTTTAAGGACTACCCAGCTTTAATTGATGAACTCGATCTTATTTCGGAAGAGGACCGAATTGCACATACCCTTTCCCTTGAAGATGCTACCGATCCTGAAAATATGCTCAGTGGGTTAACTAAAAAATTTAATTTTCGATCAACTTGGCTTTCAAACAAACTTTACAGACATTTTCAAACTGGATCCCGATTTTGAGGAAAATGAAGCTGCTTTCAACGAGATCCGTGAACAAATCATTGGTGACGCCGGTGAAAGTGAAGAGGAATCAGAGGAAGAGGACGAGGATGAAGAAGGTGACGAGAAGGCAGCTGCAAACGGTAGACATTCAATTTTATCGGTTTAAATTTTATAAAACTTGAGACGAATCTAATGCAATATTTGAATACTTATTTCAGCTAAACCTCAACAAATGGAAATCATTGACAACACTGAGCAAAATCTCGTTGCTTTCCGTCGCGAAGTTTACTTGATAATTCAATCATCGCTCGGCTATCACCGCTCACAAACTTCTCGAAATGAGTGTCAAGCCAGATTGGGAGGTTGGGCTGATTGATAGAATATAAAACATTTTTAGTTCTTTCCAATTACTAGGTACTTTAACCGTGGAACACGCTTTTGTTAAGTTTTAAGGTACCTAGTAATAGAAAAGAGCCAGATTTTTTTTTCATTTTAGCCGGAACTCATTCAAATGCTCATTGATTGTTGTGCACAGCAAAGTCCTTATGAAAGGTTTTATGGACTTCTCTGCAAGCGTTTTTGTCGGCTGAAACGTGAATTTGAAGTTAGTTTCTTTGAGCTTCTTGGGGCAGGATTTACATCAAAACCATTTTCCTTGAATTGGCTGAATTTTTCCTTGAATTTTTCCTTGCGAACGATGGGACTTCCAAAGCGCTATGAAAGAATCTGTGATCCGTAGGTTTAGAGATTTTCTAGAATTCAATAATCTTTAGTAAATTGCAACATGCGTTTGAGGGACTTTTTCCTCGGGACAACCCAGCCAATACTCGCTTCACCATCAATTTCTTCACAATAATCGGTCTTGGTGGACTGATGTAAGAAAGATTTGAGAAAGTCAATAAGTGTATGAATTTTAGGGTGGATCTTCGTGAGTTTTTGGAAGAAGGCGGAAAGAGGAAGAAATCTAACTCCGAATCAAGCTCTGAATCCTCTTCATCATCATTCTTTTATATTTATTTCATACTTTTTTATACAGTGACGAAGCAAAGCAAAGCGTGAAAACAGTCATCATCAGCTTCTTTGAGTAAGTGTCCAGCCTAGATTTATCAGAACGGTATAAGGAGAGCAAAGTATTGTTAAGAATTCTTCAACAATGCTTCATGATTCCTCAAGATTGAAAGGCCAATGATTTTTTTAACATCCTTGGAAATGGAAAAGTTCTTGGAGCAGAGGGAAGCCACCGATCTCGACACAAATCTATGTTTCTACGAAAATTGAACGGAATCTGTATCGAAAGTTCTGGGGGCACCGATCGAAATCATTTGATAATCTCTTTCAAGGAACACAACAAATACGGACGATTGGAGAATCAATTCCTGTCCTCAACGATCACCATTACGGCTCATCTTTCCAAAAAAAATCGTTACATTGAGCCGTTTGAAACTGAAATTCCCTGTCATTTGTAAATCGTTATTTGCTCAATTCAATTTACTGTACGTCAGATGTGAGCCAACTGTTGCATTCCCATTCCCCTCCTTTCTCTTTATTTGCCGTGGTAAGAAATCGCTATTTTGCTGGCAACAAATTTCTTGTTTGATTTTGTCTTCTCTCATCAATTCTGCCTCTTTAGTAGCTGTTTCCTTTAATTTTCACTTGTTCTTCGAGGAGATTCAGTCATCTTGTAGGCATCCAATCGTCTAACAACCGAAATGGACAATCTCTCGGCCATGTCGTTGAAGAAAATCGCCCAACTCGAAGCGGATTTGTGGGTTTTTCGCCAAATCTTTGCTTTTATCAAAAACAGTCTTTAATTTAATCGAAGAGTTTAGGGAAGAAATGAAAAGGGACAAAGACGTCGAGATGCGCCAATGGGCAGCAAATATGTTTGAAATCGAGGCGAATTTAATGGAGAAGATCGCGAAGTTGGAGGTTGATTTGGTTAAGGGATGGGAGAGGAATCGAAAATTGGAAGGGAAAATGACCGAGACGAAAGGGAAGAACGAGGATCTCGAAGCACAATTGTACTAATTTTGTAATTTCCTTTCAGACAGGCTCAAAATGAAATATCAATAAAAAGTGGGCTTTTTCTAGAAGCGATCAAAATGTGGAAGGGAGAAAAGGAATGGCCAAGATTGGAGAGCTCGCAGGGAAAATCAACGCGTTGGAGAGCAAAATCTCTGGCTTTGAGACCCAAATGTGAGTTTATTTCGTGGCTCTTGTCGACTGAGACGTGGGAATCTCAAGGACCATCTCCGTTTTGAAAGCCGACTTGTGAGTTCAACAATATTGGATTTTGAGTGTTGAGTAATTTGAGTATTCAGCGCAAGAGAGCGGAACGAAACAAAGGAAAAAGACGTCGAGATGAGTCGATGGACAGCAAAAATAGCTCAAATCGAGGCGAAGTTGGAGGCCAATTCGGTTGACGTCAACCTGTTGACGGTTGACGGAAGGGAGAGAAATCGTGAATTGGAAAGGAAAATGGCCGAGACGAAAAGGAAGAACGACGATCATGAAGCACAATTGTACTAATTTTGTAATTTCCTTTTAGACATGCTTTTTGGGCGAGAAGCGAAATTGATAGAATAAACAGGAAATAGGCTTGAGTGTCTCAATGACAAGATTTTTCAGGAATGAAACTCAACAAGAACTTGTCGAGGCTCGAGCAAAAATCAGCGGACTCGAGACGGAAATGTGGGTGAAATAAACAAATCTTGAAGAATTCAAGCTCGTCTTTTTCAGTAAATGTGAACAAAAAGAGAGAAGTGATGAATTCACGAAGATCAACTCGAAAATCTCTCAAAGTGATGATCGATCGACGAAAATTGATGCTGAATTGAAAGTCGAGATGTGAGTCTTGAGATCCCTCGAAGAAATATCTCAGGATGAGACACTTTTAGAGATTCCAAAGTCGCCGAAATGTCAAGAATCATCTCCATGAAAATGGCTCAAATTGAGACGGATTTAATGGGGAAAATCATGAAGTTGGAGGCTGATGTGTGGGTTCAACAATATTAGAATCTAACGATCTCCTGTAGACTGAGACTTGAGAAAACAGTTTTTTTTGACTCGCAAAACACCCATTCCACTCAATCCAATCAATTCCTTTCTAGACATTCCTTTGAAAGGGAAAACAAAACGGCCGAAATCATGAAGTTGCGGGCAGATTTGTGAGTTGTTTAAATCTAGAGTTAAGTTTTTCGAAGAAATTTAGAAATGGAACGATGACTTTCTTGGATCTGGATCTGGCTGGATGGTCGTATTTAGCAAAAACCGCTTCTTGGTACAAGGTTTGGTGGATTTTGTGAACCAGGATTATCTTCATCTCAAGGTTATCGATCAAAAAATGACATTCGATGAAGTCGAGGCATATTGTGCAGACCAAATGGGCCATTTAGTCTGCATTCACAGTCGGGAAGAGAACGATTTTGTTCGGAAACTCGGTAAGATGATTCCGATTTTCCTTTTCGAAATGATTCAATTCTGAAAATTCATGATTTTCGTAGAAATTTATGCTTTATAAACCAAAAACAACCGATATTTATTTCAGCGAAAACTGTTGGTTCGTATTCGTCGTTCTGGATCGGACTGAAGGTTGAACTTTTTTTATCGAAAAAAATAAATAAATAGAAAGTAATAATTCTTTCATCCATTTTCGGAAGGCTCTTTTTGAAGCAATGTTTCGTTTGACTGATAGTTCTTTGATAGAAATAATGGTTTCAATTGGAAAACTAGAATAATTTCGATAATAAGAAAGGAAAATCGGATCGAAATATCAATGTCTAAACATAAAATTTCTTTATTCAGAGAAATCCAAACAAAAGAGATGCTTTGGAATGGACGGATGGAAGTTCGATGGATTTCATTAATTGGCATCGGGGACAACCTGATTCGGACACCCACGCTGCGGTGAGATTTTTAACGTGAAATCATCAATATTTATGCCAATTTCCAATGCATAATTAATCCAAAAATAATTCGATCAATCTTAGAAGATTTCTTTTTGTGAAATAACGCAAAGTGTTTTATCAAAGGATTTCCATCAGAAATGAACACATTTCAGCTTTGGAACGACGATGGGAAATGGAGGCTCTATCCTCGTACCTATCAGTTTGGTCTTATCTGCAAAAGGAGCTCTCAATCCTGATAAATGTCTTTTGTTTTTTTTTGTAAACAAATCCCAATAAATCCCATTTTATTCAATCTTCTGAAAACACAAAACTGCACATTATCTTTTTCTTTATTTCTGAGTTGTTTCTTCAAAATCTCATAAAAAGTTTTCCCGAAAACACAGAATTCCGCCTGAAGCTGCAGGTATTTTGCTCTCTCGTGGCTCCTGAATAGACTATTAGATAAACGTGTTCAACGTCAATGGACATGAGGAAACTGACAATTCTTCGTGAATTCTTCTTCGTTTCTCAACTCGTCGATTTGTCTTCGATTTTCGGATTTCTCTGAATAAAGAAATTTTTATGTTTAGAGATTGATATTTTGATCCGACTTTTCTTTTTTGTTATTGAAATTATTCTATTGGGTTGGCGAATTGAAAACTGCCGACTATTGTCATATGTGACAATTTGAGCACTTTCTTCAAAAGAAACCCATTTTGCTGTCAATGGAAAAGTTGTAGAGAATCAAAAATTAAGCTTATATTCAAATTTTCAGAACGATTCAAAAATGGGTTTTCAAGAAATGCCGAATTTACGAATTTTCACAAAACTTGCATTTTAAGCGAAACTACTAAGTGTATCTTTTTGGAAATTTGGCTATAAGCCTAATTTTTGATTCTCTACAACTTTTCTATTGAGACCAAAATGGGTTTCTTTTGAAAAAAGTGCTCAAACTGGGACATCTCCAGTCCTCCATTTTTGAGTCTCACACTTGTCTCACACACAAACCAAAACCCTACTAAAAATTGCCTGTAAAATGGGCAGAAGTCGTCAATAATAATGGAAATTACTCGAACTCATTACCAACGACCATCGGGTATCATCACGTGAATTGGGAGAAGAGTTAGGGGTTGATCATGCTACAGTGCTAAGGCACCTTCATAACCTTGGATTTAAATCGAAACTTGGGACTTGGGTGCCCCATGATCTCATTGACCTCCAGAGGTGGCAGCGCGCCTTTATCAGTGCCGCTCATCTCTCACGATACGAAAGGAAATCTTTTTTTCCTTGAATTGTGACAGAAGATGAGAAATGGGTTTTATCTGTGAACTTTCGGAGGAAGTGGCAATGGGTGGGGCCAGGCGAGAAACTCGAAAGTGACCCCAAGCCCGATTTGCACCAGAAGAAGTTTATGCTCTGCGTTTTCTGGGATATGGAGGGAGTGGTGTACTGGGCGTTGCTGGATAGCAAGACGACCCTTAATGCAATCAAATACAGTGAACAGTTGGAAAAGGTGAATGAATCCCTAAAGAAGAATAGGCCCTCCAAGTCAAAGATCGTTCTCCTTCACGACAACGCGCGCCCTCATGTTGCAAAACTGACTCGCTCTAAAATAAATAGCCTTGTTTGGGAACTTTTGTCGCATCCCCATACAGTCCGGACCTCGCCCCTTTTGATTACTATTTACTTCGGACCATGAGTAATGAGCTTGCGGGAGAACACTTCGATTCGAAAGAAGCAGTCAAAAATTGGCTCCAAAAGTTTTTCAAAACCAAAATTCAACTACGAAAGAGGAATACGCAAATTGCCTGTAAAATGGGCAGAAGTCGTCAATAATAATGGAAATTATTTGGAATGAATTGATGGTTTTAGGTTGAATAAATTTTAGTTCAAAGTCCCGCAGTTTTCAATGCACCAACCCAATAGATATAATGAGCTGTATATGTCTTTATAGTCAAAAACCCAATGAAATCCCATTTCCAGACGAACTTTGTTCGATGGAATCATTTAGCTATGTACATATCACTACATTATACTCTTTCAACGACTTTTTTTGCAAAATGATCGACTATATAAGTTATGCCAAACTGAAAGCAATCAAAATGGATCTCATTCGAAATTCCCCATTCATTTGCCTCGCGATGTTCTCGGCGATGTTTGGGAAGAATTACGTTGTAGCTAAGGTGAATGAAAACCTTATTATTGTGGGTAGTTATTAGATGATCGTAATGAAGAGAGATGCTTTCAAACAATGGTCATCACTCACTTTCTCTAGAAGTCGCCATTCTTGAAGTATCCCGAATCGACGCTGTGCTCGCCGTGTTTGTACGACTCGATTTGATATCTGAATGTTGCACGTTGGTCAAGAACGCAGATACATTTCCACTAGTTGATCTCTTGACGTGTCAACCCACTTGAATCCGGAAGCTCGGAACTAATTTTCTCCCGCACCCACGTCGAAATGATGCTAAATGGTTTGAGTTTGATCTGGATAGATTCTCTCCCAACCTTCACATAAACCGAGTTTTGGGGGTTATCCCTCAGCGTTTTGTCGGGCCCTTGGCTGAACTGATGTCAAAATGAGGATGTCAAGAATAATTTCACTAACCGGCCCATCTTGGGAGAAAATGTTGCGACCCTTTCCGGAGCCTCCTTCGGAACCTCCTACGATCCCCAGACTTTCACGGGTCTCCGAACCAGCCAGCGACTTTCCTCTCACTTTCGACTTTCAATTCAGCACCAATCTTCGTCAATCGATCATCACTTTGAGAGATTTTCGAGTTGATCTTCGTGAATTCATCAGTTCTCTCCTTTTGTTCACATTGACTGAAAAAGATAACCTAAAATCTTCAAGATTTGTTGATTTCACCAGAGCCTAGCTCTTGTTTATTCTATTAAATTCGCTCTATTGATTGGCTTGTTTGAAAAGATAGCTATTTGAAGGGAAAAGAATACGTGAATTGATCCAATTGATCGCTTTGTTGAATCGACGAAGAAATTTGATGGAAAAGGAGGAGAATCGTGATGAATAGAGCGACGGCCATCACACCCATTCCGTTGAATTGGTTGATTAGTTTTGAATTCGGGGAAATGGGAACACCAATGAGGCGACGATGCGAAAAACAATTGCTTTTTAGCGCTTTAAGCGCTAAAAAGCCTTTAAGAGCTTTAAGAGCCTTTAAGAGCGCTGAAATTGTTTAGAAAAGCGATCGCCTTCCAACCGACGATTGACTCATTAAGCCGTTGAAACAATCGCTTCCAATAGCACTTCAAACAGAAAAAAAGTGGCATTTCAGAAAAAAGAAAGCCGCCAGTTCGTGTGAAGTTGGTGGATGATAAAACACGGAGTTTGAAACAAAAATGTGGGTATTTTCATGTGTGTTCCCAAAAAATTTGCAAAATTACGGCTTAAGAAAAATAAGAACAAAATAAGAAATTAAATTTCAAAATTAAATTAAATATTTAAAGTTTAACAAAAACAACATACAAATATAATAAAGCTAACAGAGATAACAATTTTTCTAACCAATCATGACTCGTCTTACTCTACGTCTTACGCCACGAAATCATACAATATTGTCCTCATACATTAAAGGGTTGTTCTACTAGAAAGGTTTACCAAAAAATAGCATTTAAACTCGGCTACGACATATATAAACTGAACTCTTTCTGAGGATCCCATCAGTGGATCAAATCGCCTACCCCCGAATACCCCTGGACTGCACTGAATAGGAATGAATGATCCTTAATATCATATTGTGGATGTTTACGATTTCAGGCGCTGCTCACCTCGCCGAGCAATTGCATGGTCATCACTCCGGGCCGTCCCCTTTGTTGCCATTTTCAGTTTGTTTGGCCTTGGCCCACGAAAAGAAGCAGTCTTTGTCAGAGATATCCATCCCCCCAAACGAGCCATTCTTCGATTCTTCCTTGAAATCATTTTCCGAAATGAGATGAGTATTCGCGATCAATCATCACCAAGAAAACCATGCAAAAATAACTCACAAATCTGCGTGCCGCTTCTCGACCTTTGACCGTTTTATTATCCCTGAAAGAATTAAAGAATATTGAATGGAGTTTTGCGAAGTCTGGGGAACACACATGAAAATACTCACATTATTGTTCAAACTCGGCCTTTTATCACTCACCAACTTCACACGAACTGACGGCTTTCTTTTTCCTGAAGTGCCACTTTTTTTGTGATGTGATCGTGATTTGTATTTTTTTTTGCGTCGTGATGATATCGATATGGGTCCGATCGTTGTGCACCATGTCCAATCCGTGATAGAAGAGACGAGCCTAGTGCTGTACATAATAAATTGAATAAATGAAACCAACGACCGTCTCGAAATGATTTAATAGCGCGGTAGCGCAGCTGCTCGTAACTCTCCAATTAAAAATTATCACTTACGGCTGCTGTTCTGATGTGCTTTTGGAAAAAATGCTTGAATTCCTTCTCGATCTCCTTCCAATACATTCTCTCATTTAACTCTTCGATTCTCATTTTTCGTTTTTACTTGGATTTTCATTTTTTGTTGTTGACATTTGTCGATAAATAAAAATATTCTCCACAGTGCAGCTTTTGTGTTTTCTAGGTTCTAAGACATGCTCTTTCCAATAGAAAAAGAATAATAGTTGCAGCGTTGTTCAAAATGCAAAGACCTTTAATTTATAGAAGATGCGGTTAAGAATTGGAACGTACTGTATATTGTAATGGAGATTCTAAATAGATTAATGAAGTTATTTCATTTTATCGTTAAGGGCCTAAAACAGATGAAGTGAGCCGACGCCTTTCCTCCATGGAGCATCGTTTTCTCAGCTATTCTCAGCTAATTCCTGTAAATCTTATTCATCATATCGAATTTGAGGGGAATTCAATCGATGAATCGAATGGGCGACAACAACAATCGGAAACAGAGACAGTGAATTGATAAATTAAACATTTTTTGTGTATTTGTTAGCGAGAAGTGAAAGCCGATCTCCTCAATGCGAAACTGACGAACACGAACGATAATGTGCAGTTGTGTGTTTCCAGGAGACTGAATAAGATTGGATCATTGGTTCTTGTCTACAGAAAGGAACACGAAGCATTTATAAGAATTGAGAGCCCCTTTTGCAGATAAGACCAGACTGATAGTTAGAAGAATAGAGCGCCCATTCCTCATCGTGGCTCCGAAGCTGAAATGTTTTCATGTCTGATGGAAATCTATTGATAAAACACTTTGCGTCATTTCACAAAAAGAAATTTGCTCCG